ATAAGAAATAAGAGATTAAAGGACCACTATAGTGCCAGGAAAACATACTCACCCTCAGGGTCCCCCTCCCGCCCGGCTCTGGAAAGGGGAAAGGGGTTTAAACTTACCTTTTTCCAGCGCTGGGCGGGGAGCTCTCCTCCTCCGATCCTCCTCTTCTCCGCCCCATCGGCTGAATGCGCACGCGCGGCAAGTGCTGCGCGCGCATTCAGCCAGTCACATAGAAAAGCATTTACAATGCTTTCCTATGGACGCTGGTGTGCTCTAACTGTGAAAATCACAGTGAGAAGCACGCAAGCGCCTCTAGTGGCTGTCAATGAGACAGCCACTAGAGGATTAGGGGGAAGGCTTAACCCATTAATAAACATAGCAGTTTCTCTGAAACTGCTATGTTTATTAAAAAACGGGTTAACCCTAGCTGGACCAGGCACCCAGACCACTTCATTAAGCTGAAGTGGTCTGGGTGCCTAGAGTGGTCCTTTAACCAGGCACTCAAGGTGAAACCAAAACTTGCAGATTTATTGTAACGTGGATAACATGACCCTAGCAGGATTTGACACAACCTTTATGGTCCACTTGCACCCTGGGGATGAGAGTGGTATCCTTCATTTCAATTTTGCTATAGTTACAACAAACTCTGCTACAGATCGAATTACTCTCACAAGGGTATTTGATTAGCATAACATGGATTTTTGCTGCGCATGCACACTTAAATTTGCAAGAAAATAGCCATTTCTAACAGCCAATGTAGGACAGATGTAGGAACTGCCAACCCTTGATCGTGAAAGTACTGCCTTTTGTCACATTTTGTGAACTTAAGGCTCGACTATACCATAAAGTACTCTATTTTATCTTTAAATTGGTTTGTAATGTCATTGATAAAGATTTTATCTATGAAATGTTAAGAGATTTTATCTTGGTGACACAGCCCTGGATCTCTACATTTTATTATTAAAATGTAAACATATGGAGACCCTCATTCAATGTCTTAACCCCAAAACGACAGAAGCAATTGTCCACTTTCTAAACCGAAACAAAACCTTAAATTTGAGGTATAGGTTCAAGTGCCCCATATACATTATATATCATTATTTAAAACAGAAAGGGCTTTAATTTAACATTCTATATGTATACTGGACACATTACATCGATTAAAATGACAAGAATGTAAAAAATTTTTTAAGAAAAACATTTTTTTCACATATTTGTCTATAATTTTTAATTAATCCAGTGCAACTAATTAACAATCAGCACTGATTAATCTATGTTGAGTTCATTTTAAATACCAAATGTGTATAGGATCCAAATGAATGTAGTTTAAACCAGCCATACTAAAGCTTTACACTAGGTTTAACTTTTATGCCTACTATCTTAGCCTTAACTTCAACGCTACCCTAAATTATCATTAACCCACACCCAGTATTAACCCTATCTTACCCTAATCCCACACAAAGTGTAACTCTACTGTAACCCATAAATCTAATCTTAACCTAACCATAACCCTAACGTAACCCACTGCTAATATCAATTTTCCAATTTTGAATTATATGGTATGTTGCCACCATCTACTGGTCGTTTTTAGACTTACACCTAGTGTACTTCTGAGTGAGCATGGTTCCCAGCTTATTATGTAGAGATTGGTGCTGCAAAACTGGCAAGCCGAGCATCGGTCCATATTGGCTGGGTATAGACTGGAAGACACAAAGCTGCCTACACCCAACAACAAAAACAGTGGCCGAGCATGATTGCTCAGCCATGTTTTTTATTAATGAATTTAAAGGGCTCTTTGCAGCGCTTACATATGCACATAGCTCATCGGTTAGACGCGGGCTACTAAGAATGGCACCAGGTGATTTACAGAAACCCCAGGCATCCATTGATACCTCTAACTCATCAAAAGGTCTCTGGTCACTAAAACTAGCCCCCAGCACTTGAAGGGAAGCCCCATTGATAGCTGGGGTTAATGGTGTGAGCAGAGATTTAACCCTGCTAACACTGTGATCACTAAATAGGTATTTAAAGAACCACTTACAGCGCTGGCTTACTGTGCTGCAAGCAGCTCATCGATTGGTACCTGGGGATAGTGGTATGAGCAGTGATTTAACCCTGTTCACACCGCAATATTTTAATTGCAGCACTGGCTTAGAGCTCATCTAAAAGTTTTAAAAAAAACAAATGGCTCCAGGGATTTAGGGAATTTAACGCTGCACACACAAAAAATGCAGGATATTCTGTGCAGTACTACAGGCTTTATAACCCACTTTATGTGGGATGGCATAGAACTCCATCAGGGTGTTAAGGGGTTAAAATGATACTAATCATTTAGTACACTTTAGGTTAATGAAGCAGTTTGGGTGCTCAATTCTCTGCAATGTAGGTGTTAAAGTGGTCTGGGTGCAGTGTCCCTTTTGCACTTAGTGTTGCACTGTTAAACATTGCTGCTCCAGAGAAACTGCAAAATGTTTACATTGCAGCTCTAAGTCTTCCTCCAGTGCCTTTCAACCACACAGCCGGCTTCTAAATGGACTTCTGGTCCCGTATCTGATGCTGGACATCCTCACGCTGCTCTGCATGAGTACATCCAGTGTCAGATTGTTCCCCATAGGAAAGCATTGATCCAATGCTTTCCTATGGGGAGGTCTAACGTGCCTGCTCGTCGCAGGACTTCGGAGGGGGAGACGCATCGACCCAGCGCCAAGGGACATCGGTGCTGGGATCAGGTAAGTAAATAAAAGGTTTTTAACCCTCTATTAACTGGTGAGGGGGAAGGCAGGGGGAACAATAGTGCCATAAATATAGCTTTGTATTTCTGGCACCAGTGGTGGAACTACCTTTGTCGCAGCTGCGACCGGGCCCGTCGCTCCATGGGACCTTGCCACCCTGTGGACCCGCCGGCCATGCATTGAGGCCCCGGTACGTGCGGTAAAACTGCCAGGCCCACGCGTTCAGTGGCCCATGCGGTTATTCATCTGCTGGCAAAGTATTTCCAGTAGGCCCAGTCAGCTCTGCGGCGCTTTAACAATGCGATCAGGCCCCCTGTGATGTGGTCAGAGGAAGTGACAGAGTGGCGCGCGGGAGAAAGAGGGGTAGGAGAGGAGTGAGTCAGAGTAGGAACTCCCATCAGCCTGAGCCACTAAACCCTAGGGAAGGCACCCTACTGCACCTAAAAGGTAGGAGACAGGTGGGGTGTTGACTAAAGCATTCTGCGTGTGTGTGTTTGTGTATGTGTCTGTATGTGTATCTGTATGTCCGTTTGTGCCCTGTGTATCTGTTTGTATCTATATGAGTGTTATTCTGTGTATTTGCATGTTTGTCCTTAAGTGTTTGTATATATAGGAGTGTCATTCTGTGTATCTGCATGTGTGTCTGCGGGGTTAGTTTGTGTGTCTGCATTTGCATGTGTCTGTGTATCAGCATGTATGTCAGTGTGTGTTTATCTGCATGTGTCAGTGTATGCACCTGTGTAACTGTCACCCTTCTTCACAATAACTCCCCCAAGCCATACCCACCTCCCATCGCTCTGCCATATGCACCCATTACTCACCTTCTCTCGCATTGTCATACTTACCCCCCCAATCCTGTCACTCACCAATGCCATATTCACCCCATTACATTCACCTTCTCTCGCACCATCACACTCACCCCTCAATCCTGTCACGCTCTTTCCCCATCGCTCACCCTATCTCATGAACCACTCCAATTCTGTCATACTCAACCCCCCACCCATGCAACACTAACCCTGTGGGACGTGAATGAGACACATGTAGGGGCTAGGGTGGTGAGATGTATAACGGGGGCCCTGTGGTTTCTAGTTACACCTCTGCCTGGCACTATAGTATCTCTTTAAATCACTTTTTTTTTTTCTGTTTATGGATCCCTAGTCACACCTGCCCTGGCTGTGACTGACACAGTCTGCATGAAAAAATAAAATTGGCTTTATTTTAACCAGATGTTAACTTGCTTTAGAAGTCTTTATCCTATGATCTGTAAATGGAACTTTAATCACACACAGGAGGCTCCTGCAGGATCTAGCAAACTATTAACAGTGCAGGAGATCATCGACCTCTTTATACTGCACCTTGGTTTGTCCAGCTTCCTGACAATCATTTGTATAAGGAAAGGGAAAGCATAAACGGAAGAGGAACGATACTTCCATTCTTCTCGTCATTGGTAATGTGTGCCCTGCTGTGCCTCGTCTGAACTGGGTTATGGTATCAATAAATGGAGCGTTAAATAGGGGGGAAGCATTGAAAAAAACAGGGAATTTTCAATGTTTTATTTAGTTTTGTAATTTCTAGAGAAGAGAAGGTTTCCCCATTAAATGCATTAGAAGAAAAATTTAAACAAATACAAAATAACCTGTCACATGCGTTATCCTTGCTATCCAGCGTTATTACTGATGGCCACGATGGAAAAAGGAGGCCATTACTGCTTGTTTTATGGATGTCTACGGTCTCTCATTAGGGGATAAAGAATATATGGGGTTAAATGGCCACTGCTGGTTGACACCCCACCATTCTGGAGATAATTACATAACATATATTTAAAAAACAAACATTTGTTGCAAATCCCCAAGCCATGTTCACCAAACCAGAAAACAATAAATGACCACACTGCAGTTGAAAAGACAGATTTATCGAGTAAAACTAAGGGAGATAAAAATTTTAAAAAACAAAACAAAACATACAGCTACCGGTAGCCTAAACTGCATACATTACACTAAATGTGTGTGTCCTGAGCGGCCCCTTCAAGTTATCTTCTGTTCATAAAATTGTTAAAATACACAAACCGCAGGAATCTGGAGTGTTTGGCAGGCAGGATGTAACAAAGAGTTTGATACTGTAATTCAGTGATCAAACATTCGAGCTGGCATCCTGCCTAATTGTTCAGTTTAATATGATTTGTATCTCATTCATTTTGTGAATCACATTTATATGATACATGATTTGTATCGCATTCATTAAAAAAAAAAAAAAAAGTATATCAATTTCATGTATATTTTGGTGAATTTCTAGATCATTAACCTTCCTAAAACAGCCGAATATTCTTATAACATTATAAACAGCATGGCTAATTGCAATTTAAGACTAATAAAATACCTGACTAGGGCTCTGTGCTGTAAGTAATCCTGGCCGACTTAAATATTTTTTGTTAATGCAGCCCATATAAGTGATCAAGTAAAGACCTTCCTTGCAATCCATAGATAATCTCACGCCTTGTCCGCATCCTATATAAAGGCAGGACTTTCTTGGGGTACAATGGATTTCACATTAGCTTGCAGCTATGACAGATTCTTCACTTTGAGTCTTACCATCAATCATTAACCTGGATTTGGATGGGAAACCACATTCTTATGTAGACAGGGTTCTATATCACCTGTGAAAGCTTCCTGGGAAACAGACTATTATTTGTGTTTATTGTTCCACAAATACACACCTACATTACCCATGAGCTGGAGGCTTGCACTGCTTACCTGTATCACGGATGGACCACCATAGAATTGTCTTGGACAGAAGTCAACTTAACGTGAGCTGCCCATTCCTTACTCTAAAAATTCAGAAAGTTCGCTTTCGTGAGATCATCAAGAAGTTTTGACATTTTTTTTGCATTACTAATAAAGTCCTAAATTTTAAAGGGACGCTCCAAGTACCATTACCTCTACAGCCCACGGTCGAGGTTATGGTGCCAGTATTGTCCTGGCATCATGTTCTTGTTCAGCTTGTTGTATAAAAGAAGTATCTGGTTTGGAACTTACCATAGATTATGGGATCTCAAACAACCTAGTTAGGGCCCTGGTACAAGAATAGTGGCCCCCCTTAATGCAAGGGTAGCCAAAAGTAGATCACTGTCATTCAACCCCCATGATGTTTTGCCAGTTGGGGGATCTGCCATTCGCCCATCCTTGCAGTCTTCGTGAGCAGGGCTTGTGTATGGGCGAGAGAGGGAGTCCCATCAAATTGAGTGCAGGAAGTTGAAAATTACATTGATAAAGTAGGATAGAATGGCAGCCATTTGCTAAAGCGCTTATGTGAAACATAACTCCAATCAACCTCACCCAGTATTTGTCTGCAAGTCCCCATTTTACTCGGCAAATACTTAAAAACGCACTTGAACCAATACAGCCTTAAAAATAAGATTTAAAAAAAATATATATAATTTTTATAAATCCCTTAATGTCAATAAAATAACCAAACTCTATGAGAACGTTTGGACTGGACACATACTCAAATTCCTATGAGAAATATTTGGACAATAACCAGCTCTAAGGAGGAAGTACTGGGCAAACACCCATCCTGCAACTGAAAGCAATATTTTTGGGTAGATTTTAGATTACAGGTACCCAGGCATGTGACAGTCTGTCAGCTTATGATGGGACAACGCCAGAAAATCCTGGCACCATAACTACTGCAGTGATTGGATTGTTTTTTCAACTATATGTATTTAAAATAAAATACAAAATGCTTTTTTGGACATAGTTGCCCTTTAATTTCTCCACTGCATCAGAATCTAATACTTTTGCTGAAAAAAAAATAAAAAAAATAAACCAAGTACATTGCAATTTAAAAACTACCGTATTACCTTTTACTGGCGTTGAGGGACATTTAAACGGAAGGTACAAAACCAAAGCTAAACTATCAGAGTTAGAAAAAGCATTGATTTCTGTGAATTTACCAAAAATTTATTATAAAACTAATCAAAAAAGAAACAAAAATACAGAGATACCTTTAACCCCTTAAGGACACATGACGTGACATGTCATGATTCCCTTTTATTGCAGAAGTTTGGTCCTGTTCTGCACGATGGTTAAATCGTCTTACTGGTGCACTTAACCTGTAGGTGGAGTAGTGTCTGGCTTAGCACCATCCCATGTTCTAAGATCCCCTGTATTTTGGAGAAAGGGGAGGGGCTGGAGCACTCTTCCCAGGTACTCATTTATCAGATTAAGAAGAAATACTGTACAGCAGCATTTTTATAGCCGACAGCTTCCTTGACAGTGCCCAGTCTTGAAGGGTTACTCCAAGAACCATAACCACTTCAGTGTTTTAAAGTGGTCATGGTGTTTGGAGTCTGTATGTGCAGCTTTCAGCAGGAAAGCAGACTGTAGCTATGATGGGTGGAGTAACCCTTTAAAAACATTATGAAAGGCAAACTTCAATTGTTTTTTTTTTTCTTTAAATGTTACTTTACATTTTGCATATTGTTATCTTTAAAAGTGTTGCAGAAAGGAATAAGCATGATTGAAGATTTTATCGCTTTTATCAGAAATGTGACAATTTTACATACTTTTATCAGTTTTTGATTAGGTAAATGTAATTGGATAGTTATTTGTTTTATTGAAATGTGTATCAATATAGACACAGGAACGCTATAGCACTGGGATGCGTGCCATAACACAAAACACTTTTTTGGCCCTCTGCCGTCACCGTAGTCTGGTACGAAGAGACTAGAATACGTTCAAAAGGAGAGCGGCCAAGGGGGAAAGGTGGTGAATATTCTGTGCCTGTTATTTACATCCTGCTAGATTCCATTAAAAGCCTGAAAATGTGAGTTTATATTTTGAAGGCTGATCGGTGTTATTGTGAGGTGTTTTTTTTTTTTGTTTGTTTTTTAAATAATATTGCCCCATATTTATTTAAAGCACTCTGATTGCAGAGATAGGAACCCTTTTATTTTCCCTTCTGAATGAAAGTGTCCTGTTTTTGATTGATTCCACTTCACACAGGTTTTGATAGATAGATAGTGTGCACCCATTCAGTACCCCTGCTGTATTTGTGGGCCAGTTCACTTCATTGTGATTCCTTGCTTATTATTGGTTTACGGTTTTTGGACGGGTAACATAGCAATTAAAAATATAAGACCTAGGGAGCTGAATATTTTTTTTTTTATGCGTAAAATGTACAATTATTTTGTCTATTCCAAAACGCTTGGTTTAGATTAGAGCAAAACTTTCTTTCTTGTATTGCTTTAACTGTATCTATTTCAACTACATGATCATGTATATGTGCACAGCCTTCATATGCCAACATTATATACACAATGACGCAATAAAACACAAACACCACACACAAGTACAGCACACTCCTTTTAAATGGCAACAGTGCATACAACTACATTCAAATGCCAACACTACACCCAAATACATGCGCACGCGCAAACACATACATACGCATGCTTACACTCCCAAACCACAAACCCTGCAAGGATGGGCAAATGGCAGATCCCCAACTTTTGCCTTTTGACTACCCTTGCATTAAGGGGAGGGGGGGAGTGGGCTGCTGTTCCTGTAGCAGGGCCCTCAACTACTCCAGTTCTGCCACTGAACTAAGCTAATTAGCTTGCTTGAGATCCCATAATGATCGATAGCAAGTTCTAAACCAGATACTTTTTTTTTTTTTTTTTTCCACAACAAGCTAAACAAGAACATACCAAATGCAATATAATTTAAAGGGACACTAGGTTAACATTTATAGCCTAAGTTATCTCCTGTATTTTCCTTTTTGCCTGCTCAGTTTTATATAGTTGAAAAATAAAATGTTCTGCAGCATTCTGTATATCTATCAAGAAAGTTATGGTGGGGAAAAACGGTGATTGAAAACCCTTTCCGCCTGAAGTCAGTGGATAGTCAATACAATGTGAAACACCAGCTAAGCCAAGTACCTGCTTTTCCAACAGAAATCACTAATTTGCAGTGATGTTACTACTGCAAAGGATTCTGGGTGGGCATATGCAAATTAGTTCAACAAAGAAGCGCATTTTTGCCTCATCTCTTCCAGAGTTGTGTTTCAAAGCTGTTGTATACAACAAACACAAACTCCAAGGAATCCATGTTTAATGTCAATGTGAAAAAAGGAAACTTAAGCCTTATATTTGACTCTCTAACTTTTAAAAACACCATAAAAATTGTACATGGGGGGGGTACTGTTATACTCGGGAGACTTTGCCAAACACAAATATTATGGTTTCAAAATAGTAAAATGTATCACAACAATTATATATTCAGTGAAAGTACCGTTTGTGTGTGAAAAATGCAAAAAAAAAAATATGAATTTTTACTGACTATATCATCGTTGTGATATGTTTTACTGTTTTTAAACACCAATATTTGTGTTCAGCAAAGTCTGCCATGTAAAACAGTACCCCCCATGTACAGGTTTTATGGTGTCCCAGAAAGTCACAGGGCTAAATACAAGCCAAATTCTCTGGACTTTCTGCTTGGGTTGTCGGGCAGGTCCCTCAGATTGTAATTAATAAAATAACTGGATTATGTATAATATTATATAAATATATTTGTAGAATATATATATTTTTATAACGTCATTCTAAATGTATTTTGAATTTAATATATGTATATTAATATCAAAATACAGTTTGAAAAAAATGATATACCAGTTTTAATTTGTTCTATTTATTTTATATAGATATATAAAATTAATGTCATTCTAAGTGTATTTTAATATTAATGATGTAGGTGTGTATATAAAATACACACACATATACACATATAATCCAAGTACTTTTATTTTATTAAATTTTTTATTAACTTTTAAAAACTTTATAAACATTGTTGCAGGCTTTAGGGGGACAACCTGAGAGTTCAGGCACCGCATAGGCCGGCTATTTCGGCCATGTGATCGCGAGAACCCCGCAATCACATAACCGGGGAAAGCCAGATCGGGAAGAGGGGGGTCTGCCTGAGCTCCCAGGCCGACCCCAGGATCGCAACTGTCGTTGGGGGAACATCGGGGACCCAGTAAGTACAGAGGACGGTGGGGGTTTTCAATGCCGCCTGCTGGCGTTTAGGACCGCCTACAAAAGGACAGCATAGAACGCCCACCGTCCTTAAGGTGGTTACTATGAAATGAAGCAAAAATTTGATTCTAATTTGCATATGCCCACCCAGACTCCTTTGCAGTAGTAACATCACTGCACATTTGTGATTTCTGTGGGAAAAGCAAGTCTTCTAGCTTGACTGATGTGTAGATCTTTGATTAACATTGTATTGACTAATTGTATCTGCTAACGGAGTTCCAACATAGAGAGCTGACTGATAAATGAACCAAGTCTAGAAAACCTTACTCTGAGCAGAACATTACACAACTGGCTGAAAGAGGGGACTCTTCTCATATGTAATCTAGTGACCATCACATCTCTAATTTCTGCAAAGAATAAAAAAAACAGTTGGTGTTCTTTATGCATTTTAACATTTCCATTGCTAGATTAAACACGCCTCATAGCTCAGATTCCAGATACCACAACGAGAGGGTCCAGATTGGATAAGCTATATTATTGATGATACAACGTGTGAGGATTTCCACAAAAAAGGTGGAGGGTGGTGATGTTAATATAAATGTATATATGTTTTAGTCTTAGATTCTTTGTTTTTGTAGATTTAAAAAACACCTTGTCTATACCAAAAAAAAAAAAAAGTTTCCCGTCTAGCTGGAACGTCCCTTTAAAATGTTAGAAAAAGTTTCACATAGAACGGATTAAGTAGGGGTTGTGAAGAAAATTACATTTGCAGCAGAAAAAAGTAAACACATTTGCATATTTTCACACACTTTAAATCAATGCAATGTCTGTTTTAATTAAAAAAAAAAAAAAAAGTCCCTTTAAGAAATACAGAAGAATATAAACGATTTGCAATCACAAAACTGTGATCTGGTTATAGCAACGCATTCCTTTGTCCTTTTAAAAAAAAAAAAAAAAAAAAAATCACAATTTCAGCTCTTTCCTAAAATTGCTTAACAAGACTGACAAGCTGGCAGAGTGGTTAAAAAAAAAAATAAAAAATAAAAAAAAATCTTTTTAATTCAAGCTTCCTAGCATATTTGTGCAGTGTACTGAAATAAGGATATTTTTTTCCAAACACAACTGTTCTTATTTCAACATATACAAGTTAGTTTTATTTATTTTTTTACTAAAAGGAAAAGAAAAAAAAAAGAAAAAAATGTAAAGGTTTTCCCGAAAGTGCACTCACTGGCAGGGTTAAACTAAATCTAAAACAGAAATAATGTGAAGGGGTACAAAACAAAAAAAAAACATAAGAAAAAAATAAAATTTATGTATAATAAAAAAAAAAAAATTAAAAAAACCACACACAACCCATAAAAAAAAAAAAAGTAAGTCTGTACTTGTGCTCACCACTTTCAGAAGAAATGTAAAAAAAAAAATTAGTCTATAGTGATGTTTTCTTTTAAAATTTACTGAGAATTTTGAGAATACTCCTCTCAATCTTTAGCCACCAGGAAGCCCTTTGAAGTTTAATGTCCTTCAACTAATTACAATATACCAAAAAAAAAAAAAAAAAAAAAAAAAAAAAAAAAAAAAAAAAAAAAAAAAAAAAAAAAAATCACATTGCACCCAAAAGGTACTGTGAAAGGAAAATTACCAACACTTTACTTACAAAGATGTTTGTCGTGGTAAAAAAAGTGGGGATGAAATTGAGGCATTAATCTGGCTCTTCCTTTTTAAGAAATTGTAAGTTTGATACAGCTTTTGTGCCACTGCCATTTGGACACAGGACTAAACATATTGCCCCAAAAAGTCCACTCAAGCAAACGTAGGGGGTCCCACAATTTGAGGCCTTTGTACTACAAGAAGGTAACAAATATATATATTTTGTATTTACAGGACACGGGGAAGGTAAAATAAAATAAAAACGAAAAAAGGAAGAAAAACCAGGAGACAACTTAGTGGTTACTAATTCTAAATAATGCAAAAGTTATATTTATATATAAAAAAAAATGCAAATTCATTTTTTTTTTTTTTTTATCAAACAGTAAGGGTAATCAGTCTTTCAAACGTTAAACAGTCAAATAGGTGGTGAATGTAGCATTTACATGGTCTCCGAGTCCTTAGTTCTTTGGCAAAAAGAACTTTCCATGGTTTATAATCCATTAGGTCCAAGTCCACAATGTGAGAGGAAAACAGAGGCCTAAACGGTTGGATTCAAAAACCGTAGTAAGAAAATAGATCTCTAGATTATCTTCAAAGAGAACAGTAGAAGAAGTTGTCTATTCCACTAACCTAAAACGAAAGAAAAAATAAATACAATTGTATTTTACAGTGGGAAACATCACATGGCTTTGGTTGCTTATTGGCTCAGGATTGCACTCCCCATTCAAAATAGGGGACTCAATGCTGACGAGCTACAGTATATAAAGACTTCGGTTTCATATTGGTTCCTTTGCTCTGATGAAGACCTACACCATTCCTCTGTTTGCACTCATATCACAAACACCCAATTTTAAAACTTCTCTAGGACTACTCCATCATTCTTCTGGAAATTCATTTCCCAGTCACTAGACTTATCTTCACACTATAAATAACATCCTTGGTATCCACTTTCTTGGAAACCATATGAATACATGTTCTTCCCATGCTGTATTTCGAGGGTTGTCTTCATTAATTCCTCCATACTCCTGTTTACACTCTATAATGTTAATGCAAGCAATACATTTATTTAGTAGTTTCCCTAATTCTCCCTATACCATTCATTACCTACTGAAGTAACGGTCATATAATGGACCTTATTGAACTTTCCAAAGAAAGTTTTAGAAAACTGTTTAAGACATCAAAGTTGTCCCTTGGTTGCTTTGTCCATGTTTTTATGCTTCTGATTCATTGTATGACAAGGAAAGTCGGCTGTACTTGGGAAAGGATATTCTGTCCTTTGCCATGGATTTACCAGTGATATGAACATTACAGCTCTGGCTTTGATACCCATGATCACCTAGGATACCTACGGTAATTATTGTACAGCTCTCTGGGAAATATACAATTGCTTCATAAATAAGCCTTGACCATACCAACAAATCTCAATGATGGGAGTCCGTGATTGGCGGCGCGCCCTACACTGACGCGCTATCACTGTAACCAATCATTGTTCAGGAAAAGCGGAAGCATTAGCTTAACCAACATAGGGGTAAAACAAAGGTTACCGACGTAGTTTAACATAGAACAGATTGATGGTGCCAAGTGACTCCAGACACCATAACACCTTCAATGAGATGAATAGCATATATGCACAGCATGCCAAGCTTCCACGCTAACACACCAAATGGTATTTATAGGTCAATGGCAGGAGCTTTGTAAATGTCAGACTAGTGAAATAGTGGAACTAATACCTACTCACAATTACACACACAAATAAGAAAAGAAAAAAATAAATAAAAATAAATAAATATATATATATATATATATATATATATATTTTTTTTTTATGTGGAATATTTTCTGTGTTTTATTTTTAAAGAACGTCATTACCTGACTAGTTGTGAGAATTATCACTAGGTGCACTTCCATATTCGTAATCCTGCGTTTCTTCTGGGGTTTCGTTAGTAGTGTGACCCCAGCTGTCCGCACCATCAGAGGCAGCACTTTCATTTCCAGGAGAGGCCTTGGCCCAGTCCTTTTCTTGAGAATCGCTTTCGGCTATGACTGGCTCATCCGGACTGCTGCTGTCCAACTGATCCAGAGCTGCCTGTTGTTGCATCTCAGCAAAATAAACCCTAATCTGATCAAAAGTCATCTTGGACTTTATAGCAAGAAGATCCATATCCTCTTCGTGAAGCTGGTTGTACTCCTGAAAATATCTTGTAAGAAAGTCTTTGCCCACCTTGGTAGCTGCAATCGTCTGTATAAACACTTTACGTTCCTCTAGTGAACGCTCATAATGTTTCCTGTATTGCTCCATCCACCTTAGACTACCTGTTCTGAGGACACACCTATTGTCTTTAAACCACTTGACTATTTCAGTTCTGACGAGACCAGTCTGTGCAGCCAACTGGTCATAATCCTGTGGGGATGGCCATTGAGTTCTTGCAAATGTACTTTTTAGTAGGTGGAGCTGCTCCTGTTTAGATTTATAAGAAGCTGAAGGTTGTGGCCAAGTGCTAGTTGAATTACTTGATTGTTTTGAAGATCCGTTCACAAGTCCAACTTCGTTTGTTTTTTCTGTACCCATTGAATCCAAAACAGCTTGTTCCATGGAATCCCTAATTTTCCTTCTTTCTGAAAACCACAAGTCAATTTCTTTTCTACTCAATTTAGTTTCTGCTTTTAAATGATCCATTTCGGTCTGTGTTGGAAAAGAACTTTTTAGAAAACTGTTTTCAAGACATCGAAGTTGTTCCTCTGTTGTCTCTGTCAATTGTTTTCGTGTTCCTGTTTCACTGTATGGCTGGGAAGATCGACCGGACTTGGCAATGGATATTTTTTCCCTTGCTATGGATTCGCTAGTGATATGAACAATACCTCTCTGGCTTCGATACCTATGATCACTGAACCACTTTTTAATTTCACTTCTTGAAAGCCCAGTAACATCGATTAGCCTATAGATTTCGGTGTCATCTGGAAACTGACTAATTACAAAACTAGCTTTTAAGAGAGCAATCTGTTCCTTGGTCTTTTTTCGATCATTGTTGGTTGATGGCACAACACTGGACTTGGGTGTGGAAGGGGATTGTGCAGTATTTTGCCGTTTCGCCTCTGGAGCTTCAGGGGTGTTCTGCATTGATCGTTTCTGGCTTTGTTTGGCAACACTGACATTGGAGTTAAATTGTGGAACTGTAACAGTGGGAGCGTTTGTCACCTGAGTTAAAACAAGACCAGTTTGTCCAAGTATTTGACATGGCAATGCTGTCTGAATAATAGGCTGAGAAACTTTGGCCGTCGTCAGAGAGCCAGGTAAAACTGTGATGGTTTGAGGAACAGACTGAATAGTACCATTAAACATTTTCTTTCTTGCCTCTTCTACCTCTTCTGGAGACCAGCTTATGCCATGCTTCAACCGCTGGGTGGCAAACCATATTCTAATTTGCTCCTCTTGGTGTTTTGATGCTGCGGTCAACCAAGACAACTCTGCTTGTGTTGGGTAAGGAAATTTGTTGAAGGAATTTATTAATGTTGAGTTTGCATCGAGGGCACAATTATACTTGTTACTATTAAAAGGAACAGGGACCTTAGGAAGAAGGTTTATATTAGGTGGAAGCTGAACGGAGGGCATAACGTGCGATAAGCCATCGTGATGATTATGGTTATTTAAAACACCATTTGTTTCTGGAATACAGGTACCCGCTTCATAGTAGTTGTCCTGTACAGTTTCCTCTGCTTTTCTTGATCCTTTTTTTATTTCTGATCTTCCCTTCCCAAATTTCATGATCGGCATTTTACTTATTGGAATCCCGGATGAGTTGTCACCATTGTCAAAATTTTCATGGATACTTGAGACATCTGGAGGGACCTCTATCGACTGTTCTAGGATGGTCTGATTATTGCGTTTCATCAACTTTAATTTGAAGTTGTCCTCCCCGGGATGATGTTTTGCATTGTGTTCAGATAAAGAATCATATTTTTTGGTTGTGAAATTACATTCAGCACAAACGTAAAGGGGATTGAGAATTACATTTGGATGCTGCACATCTACATGCACTGTAAATTCATTGAGATGTTGTGTTACATAAGGACAGTATTTACACTCATAACCCCCTTGAAGTTTTTTTGATTGGTTCTCAGGTGGTGGCTTATCTTCCACCATTTCATTCTCTTTGCTAGCCTTCTCTTTCTCCACCCTGTCATCTCTTCTTTCTATATCAGGGGTCCCATCATCGACAACTTCCATATCATGGTCATCTTGATCAAGAAGCTCAGTTGCCCGCACCATGCACGGAGTAGTTGACTTCCTTTTACTGGCCATGCCAACAATTTGACAGGGCTTCTGTGTCAAGTCTTTAACTCCAGTTAAGTACCCTCGAAATGCTGCAAAGACGTTATATGTTGTAGGCGGCCATAGACCGCATCAACGATTACCGTGAATAGGAAAATAAAGCGATTTAGGCGTACAGCAGACCTGAAAAAACAAAACAAAAAAAAACAAAAACGACATGGATTAGCAGAAAATGTATAACCCACATATTACATAAATGGTAAAAGCATAGATGTGGTTTTATTACATGTCAGAGAAAGACTGCTACTTACCCAGGATTAGAGAGTTAGGAACTAGTTTTAAACTTCCAAATGTATATAAAATATTAGGCTGTGCACTTATAAACTAAAACGATTTGATGTAATACATTTGTCCTATATTTAACAATACAGGTCATTTTAAAGAGTACAAAACAAATTGGCCTTTTATTTTATTTTCAGTAATACACACACACACACCTATCCCCAAAGCATACCCCCTTCCAGTGCGGAGAACAATATCATGTTACGTTCATGGAGGTTACACTATAGACCTTACATCATTGATGCCCATAGTGTACAGTCCTGCCAATCCTTAAAGGACCACTATAGTGCCAGGAAAACATACTCATTTTCCTCGCACTATAGTGCCCTGAGGGTGCCCCCACCCTCAGGGACCCCCTCCAGCCCGGCTCTGGAAGGGGGAAAGGGGTTAAAACTTACCTTTTTCCAGCGCTGGGCAGGGATCTCTCCTCCTCCGATCCTCCTCGTCAGCTGGCTGCGCGTGCATTCAGCCGGTCGCATAGGAAAGCATTTATAATGCTTTCCTATGGACGCTGGCGTGCTCTCACTGTGAAAATCACAGTGAGAAGCACGCAAGCGCCTCTAGCGGCTGTCAATGAGACAGCCACTAGAGGCTTTGGGGGAAGGCTTAACCCATTCATAAACATAGCAGTTTCTCTGAAACACTGTTTATAAAAGAATGGGTTAACCCTATCTGGACCTGGCACCCAGACCCCTTTATTAAGCTGAAGTGGTCTGGGTGCCTAGAGTGGTCCTTTAATAATGTGTATCACGCCATTTTGGAATAGTATTTTGTAACCGCAGCCGGTTCCCCTATTTACCACTATAGCATCTTAAAGCATAGAACTTAGCAGGGCTAACCATAATATTATATAGTTAGTAAGAGATCCTCTATTTAAAATATATAAATAATTGAGAATACAATATAAAATGGGGATTGTCTTGGAAGCAAGTTTTGTCTTTTAGATATTTTATTAAATAAAAATATAAATAGACATAAAATCCATTACAATAATTTATAGCAGAGGTTATAAGATTTACGTATATGCTTGCAATATCATTAAAATAGAATAACATACCCTCCTTAACATGTCAACCTCTCTCAGTCATTATAAATAGAGCGACAGTGTCGGGCTGCAAATCTCTCCTCTATGTGTACATTTTTAAATATTAGGACACATTTATATCTTAGATTTTTTTCATTTTAGGGCTACTGCAGTTCATATATGAAAAGGTAAACGGAAAACAACCTTTAAATCTTTATTTACTGGAAGTTAGTGTGACATAGCATAGTATTGCATTATTGTTATTGTATTAAGCCAAGACAAAATGGCGTAAGTTAGGATGACGTAGCAGTCTTGAAGATGCTACGCATTACTTGTTTTTGTATTAAGCTAAGGCAAATTGGCGTAAACATATTATGCACTGAAAGTAGGTAAGAGGTTATTGCTTAAAAGAAACAGTTATGAAAAACAATATGTTCCATTTCCAACACCTTGTCAGTTTGCAATCTCTCTTAAAGACAACGTACACAGTTTAAGAAATACAACATTTCATTCTAAAACTTGTAATACTTGCATTTGCCCATAACAATTCTAGACTAGTTTGTTACCATGAAACGCGATATTTGCATCAAAGAAACGGGTGTTGGGAGAGACACAAAAAGGTGCTGAGGGGTGCTTTTCTCAAAGAAAATAAAAAGGTCTTTACTTTGAATCCTGAGTGTATGTCCTAGGGGGAGAATACAGGACAAGCAAAGCAGCACGGTTTACAGCAGGGGGAAAAGGTTAGATAAGCCACACACAAAAAAAGTGAAACGATGGGGGGAAGGGGGATTAGGTTAAAAGAATCAGGATAAGATCAAAGAGAAGAAGAAGTGCGGATATGAAAACCTTTTACCCATTGCATTCTAGATGATTACAAAGCGTTCAAGTGTTAAAATAAGTTTCCACATGACCTCCTGTAACTAAACAATCAAACTGTCAATTAGCAGTACGATTAACGTTTTATATAGTGAATTTAGGAGGAAAAAAAACAACCTAAAATAAAACCAACTAATTTCTCTGTCAATCACCAATATTAGCCAGTCCACCAAATTATTCTGCTACTTTTTGTCTAATCTCCCCATTTTCACCTTTAGAGTGTAAGCTCACGGGCAGGGCCCCCTACCTTTTGTATTGGTCTGTTTATACTGTATTGTTTTTTCCCCCCAATTGTACAACGCTGCGGAATATGTTGGCGCTTTATAAATAATAATAAACACCATAAACAATAAAACAAAAAAAAAATAGACACCACAAACCCAAAAGTAACGAGGTGTTTTTTTTTTTGGTTTTTTTACACACACACACACACACACACACACACGCGGAACCATTTCTATAGTCCTATAAACATTTTTGACAGGTAAACTCCCCACCCCCCCTTACTTAACATTAGCAAGTTGCCAATACCAAAACCTACATGTGAAAATCAGCTGAGGGTACACGGATCTTTAAAATCCAGCTTTTCTGTTGCTTCTAGGAAAACACTGACCTCAGCCAAAGCTATTAATATTCCATGCTTGTAGCCAGAGACGAGCCCAAGTGAGCTCACCAGAAACCACTGGCTTGCACCAGTGACCACAATAGTGATGAATTCAGATGGAAAATGATTAGGTTTGCAGCAGTGGGGCTCTGCAGTTGCTATGTATGGGACATAGTTTGAAGACGAAAAACAAGACCCTTCTGATCACAAAAGCGTAAACCCTCACACAACAACAACATTTTTTAATTATTATTTTTTTTAAATAAAATATTAGCTCATAGATATGGTTGTTCGAATGCTGCACCACTGATTAATTTTCCCAGACTTTGCTCCTTCCATAAACAGTATTTAAATATGCGGAGGTACACACAAATTATTTATGGTGAGACTTAAATTCCACACAACTTGATGCAGATAGAAACATTACTGTTGTGTATCACCTGCATATCTCAAGTTAAACTTTGAAAAGTCCACCTTGAGCGCAGTAATTCCGAGAGAACAGGTTTGATTTATGTTCATTGGTTATTTTGTGTTTAAAAAAAAAAAAAAAAAAAATGTAAATGCAATGTTTTCAACAGTTTTCCACTGCTAAGGATACAAGTATAAATGCAGGGATTTCTGGGATTAATGTGGAGCCACGATTCCTCAGAATTTCTGTGCCCAAGAAGGACTCCCTAAATGACAACTTAAATGTGCAGCTGATGGAGATATAGTCTCGCTCTCTATTCATCTATATACACACACACGAAAAATAAAGTATGTCCTCTTTGAATCCTATGGGTTACATATCAGGACATAATCATCTGTTCCTTAGCAGATCTTAAAATTGGGTAAATCCAACCTCGGTGAACAACATGACATAATACAACGTGCCAAGAGTTTAAAAAATATACAACTCACACAAAAAATATCATGGTGTTAGCACACATTACAGATTGCAATAAAACTGTTCCCCAATAGACTGGGCTGAAGCCTCTGAGATTCTAATTGTACTGATAGCCCCAGAGGCTTTTGTCACATGGTTTGCCACAGCTGCGGGGAGGGGTGGGGTGTCCACGAAAATCCATGTGCAACATTTTATTTTCTGGTACTACAGAAACTGAGGTTTGGAAGAGCAATTTATGTGCAGAACGATCCTAATAGTAACAGTTTTAACATCAAAGGGAATCTATAGTGTTAGGAATACAACGTTGTGCCCTCTGGTCTCCCACCTCCGTGACATAGTGTTTAACCCTTTACTCGCTCGATTCCAGTGCTGATGTCCCTCAATGCTTTGCCTCTTCCTCCATCATCCAATTGGGTGAACTTGCGCACAAGCGCGGAGAGCACCACTTGCACATTAGGCCATTAGGCATTTCCTCAATGCTTTCCTATGGGGATTTCTCGGACGTTGGAAGTCCTCATGCACAAACCTTTTCATCACCGACACCGACTACATGAAGCTGGATGTCCTCATGCATAGCGTGAGAACGTCAAGCGTCACGGACCAAAAGTCACATAGACCCGGAAGTCCATCTAGTGGCTGTCTGGTAGACAGTCAATAGAGGTGGAATAAAACCTGAAGGGTATTTATTGCAGTTTATCAAAAATCAATGAGCTGAAGTGGCCTGGGTGCCTATAGTGTCGCTTTAACCGTATGAGGTTCTATTATGGTGCATATTACACATTTAGCAAGTGATCTCACAATTCAGTCTGGTCAAGGCACAGGCAATGGCACACAATGCAAAGGAGGTAGAGAACAGAAACACTGTATATTATGGTCAATGGCAGAAACGGGCAGCCACTTATAATGACTAGCAGATGGAGATAACCTGTTCAAGAATACATGTGTGGATTCCTACATTTTATTTTTTAATTTTCAGAACTCACAAAAATATAAATCCTAGCAACCGTCAGGGTCCTGAGAAAGTTGCAGTCACTTGGGATCCTGACATCAAGTTCCCAGACAGAAGCTGCATCGTCATCAACCAATGGTCCAGTTCTTCAATAACCAGAAAATCTGGACCCGCACCATTTATCAAGCAAGTCAATGTTGTCATCTGTTAAGATATACATCGCTTCTTCATCTATAGATCACTGCCTGCTGAGTAAACAGACACATTGGTGCATGGCCTTGTTTATTTAACCCAAAAAATATTTCTACACTCACCGACCTAGGCAGTAAAATCCTATTCTCTCCTAAATTCGATAAAAAATAAATTAAAAAAACAACACAACACAAATAGAGATTTTAAGATCCACACAGGCAATAGAGCCACGAGTGTGTTTGAACCCAGCACTATTTACAGTAAATATATGTATTTCGTCAAACTGTATCGAAATTCTCTCTTTTTGGAGGAGGGCAGACACAAATGTTTGTCTTCTAGTCTTCTGAGGAAGGGCAGAGGGAAAATCATGGTACTAGGATTGGAAAGAATAGTGTGCATACACTGCATATTGGTACCTGTAATACTACATATTCTACAGACTGGGGGACAGTTTATTCCTCTGAGTGCCCTCTAGCATAGCTCCAGCACTGCCAAGTCTTTCCATGGAAAGTCTGACTCATTCACAGTGAGCAAAGGTCATACTTTGCAGCAACAGCAACGCATCCAAACTCTGACAGTGGACAAACAAAGCATAGACTCCAACCATGACTGCACACTGCCAATCGAAGCCGTGAGACATTACAGACGTTGATTCATTTTTAACCCTTCTAGCAGTGTAGACAGACATAACTCGGGGGTTAAATTCATCCTTAAATTCACTCAAGAATCTTAAATCGCCTTTAGAATATTTTGGAAAAGCAGTCTAACTGCTGACACAGCATCATGCACCCCCCCTTGGCTGAGAATATGAGCTGTTACAAGTCTCCAGTTTTACAAGCCCTCTTTTTCAGCTGATCTTTTGTCTGCTGCAGATGACCTAAATAAGCGCTTGATTTTTTTTTCCTTAACATGCTTTTTTTTATAATGTAATTAGGGATTTCAGCGATGGGTTGTAATTGTGTGTTTGTATATACAGAGTTAAGATCTCAGTTTAACCATTTATTAATTGCTGTACTTTGCTCTCCCACATCGGCCAATGGGAGCAGATTGTGCCTTCATGCCTGCTGTCTGAGCTGCAGTATGACATCATCCTCTGCTGGGAAAGAAGGCTGCTTGCTGTAAGTCGTTCATGCTTGCATTATAACTTCTGACACAGCAGTGGGAACAATACGCACACACAGACACGCCTGTGCTAGTTACTAATGTAAGACATACCAAGGTATACAATGATCCGTGTCCTGGAACCAATGCAAGCAAAACTGGTGATTGGGCTTGGGCTGTCCCTTTAAGAGCTGACATACTGCAACCAATAAATATGCTAGATCGGCTGCCTTAGAGCTATAATTAACCTTTGCATGTCAATCAAATATAAACTATAAATCCCACTATGCTCAGCCAGCCTTAAAGAGATGCTCTCATCTGCAGAGTTCAGTTATGCAACTAAAAAGGTAAATATTAGGAGGTATAATCCAGAAATAAACTTTTTGAAACTCTTTGTTTGCACACTCGGTTCTGTGTAACCTTGTATCACACAGGATCTGCATGACAAGTGGCACGCTGCAGTCCGCGTCCAATCCCACATTTGTCAAGGGGTGGTACAGTTCCAGCTGCCAGGCCAGTGTTTCAGAAGCGTGCTGCGCCATCTGTCATGGGTTTTACACTGCAAGAAGAAGATCTGCAGCTCAGCACAAAGGATTCTAGAGATCGCCGCACTGAAATGCCTTTTCTAACATAGGCTACATAAAGACTGTAGCTTTGGCAGTCACCTGTTTTGCGTATCCCCTGCTATCTCACCTGAGGGCTGTCCGTTCTACTGGTAGCCAACGGTGTATTTTGTTGTCGAGAGGCAAAAGCAGCAATTTAATGTCAACTTCTTTGCCATAGAGAAAAAGGTCATGAGATTCAGTCCATGTTACAATCAAAGCTGGCCCAGGGCTGATACACAATAGTACTGTATGCCTGTTTCACAGCCCTGGTTTGCTTAACCGAGCAAGTCTGGTTAGAAGGCAGGACACGGTTCTGTGGACCTCAAGGCGCTTCTGTTGTACAACAAGTTCCCTAGTTAAAATAAAGAAGATTAGAGGAGAGAAAAAAAGATAAACTCAAAAGACAATCTACTGAATAAAGAACATCAGATTGGTAAACCAGGAAACGTAAGAGCTGAGGTCTACTTATCGCCCAACTGGTGGCACTCATTCTACCATCCTTGGAAAGGTGAAAACCTGGGATACGGCAGCAGGAGCTTATTGTGAATTATCACACCAGCTATAGAAGCACCAATCAATGTTCTAGCACATGCAACCCCTTTAAAACACGTCAAAGATTCAGTCTTAAAGCTCCTCTGCTCTTAATGCTCCACCAGATGCCTGTGAGGTCCCAAAAACACAACCTGTATTGAAGCATGCCTTTGGTGCTGTGCTAATAACTAAACAGCAAGGTGACCACAACTGTAATGTAAGTGCTGATCATTGAAGTTGCCAGGAATTCTAAGCCAATCTAGAATCACAAAAATTATCCAATCCTCTGGCTTTTTCTGGGGCCTGAAATTTAAATTAACTTTGGATTTCCATTAATTTACACTTTACCAGGTAACTTTGTGCAGCTGTAGGTAATCCTTTCGATCTTCAAATTTGATGGTGTAAAAAATAAACAAAAAAAAATACTAAAGCCTTATTGTCCAAATGATAGCCAAGTACCAGGAGAGTAAATACACAGTAGCACCGCATATTTTAAAAAGATAGTGTTACACACAACCATATCCAGACAGACATTCTCTGTGAAAATTTGGAGGGGTATGGTCAAATAATGCAGAACTACAGAACAAGTCGGTCACAAAAAAAAAAAAAAAAATTACATTAGCCCAGAGAACAGAAATATTCTGCATTGACGGCAATATTTAATGATGCAGAACAAACCGTTGAAAGTAGGCCACAGTCTAAGCTTGTGACTTCAAGGAGTTGTTGATAAGTCATGACAGGTCCAGAACCCAGTGACAACTCCTGTCTGCCTGCAGTCCATTCTGGGGAGGACCCCACTCCCCTCATCTGCTGTTAACGGTCACAACTGCCTGCAGGCCTCGGCTCGTTTACTATGGCAGAGGGACAAGTTCCACATGTCTTTGAAATATCCAGAAATAACCTTTAAGAACTGGCACGGAGGGCAATTTAAAAGATATAGATTTCGAGTCCGGCCTACTGCCCTACTTCACATAAGTACACATCAGGAGTCCCTTAGGAGATTCATATCTAATATTCCTGCCTAAATCTGTATTCAGTTCTATTATACACAATTCAATCTCTATTATTCAATCTAATTATTCTGTTTCTATTCTAGTTTGGTTTTTAGCAAATAAATCCCAATGGCTTTGTACTACTGGACACTATTACATTAAACAATGAATAACAAAGTGCAGATATGCAATGAACCACAGAGGACTTGCAGTTTATTTTACATACAGTTCTAACATTTTAAAGGACCGAGTGACTGGAGGAGTTAAACCTTTGGCTAATTAAACAATTGGTTGGAGATCCTTTGCACTAACTGCCTTCCAAAGATGTGGCCTATATTTAAAAGGATATTGTTTGAATTGACTAGTCCATTCGTTTATTAGACAGAGGGAAAAATAATAAGCATGGCTTGTTTTAAAGAGGAAAGTATTAATACTCTGGAATTTACAGCATTGAATAAGACAATGCAAATCACGCGATGCTAGTTTTCTGTATTTTAAAGATTTAGCAAATCACAAGGCAACACCAGGGCAAATTTTGCAAATGAAGAGTAAAAAGATAAGCATTGTTTAAAGGGACACTATTGGCACCCAAACTACTTCAGCTCATTGAAGTGGTCTGGGTGCAGTGACCCTGTCCCCTTAACTCTGCAATATTACAGCAGTTTTTGAGAAACTACAATAATTACATTGCAGGACTAAGACTGCCTCTAGTGGACTTTCTGTTGCCTGACGTTGGATGTCCTCACGCTCTGCATAAGGACATCCAGCATCATTTAAATCCCCATTGGAAAGCATTGCAGCAATGCTTTCCTATGGAGAGGGCCTAATGCACTTGCAGACATCGCCATACATGCGCATTAGCCAGTAATGGTCTATGAAGCGAAGACACCACAATGTTTGTCCATTGAATTAAATGTAATCGAAACTCTCCCTCTTGTCTACCCTCCTCTCTGGACCACTCTAGTGAATGCACACAAGTTTCCAGTTTGATGCTATGCAAAGTTCCTGGCTCTGAGTCATGCTGCCAGGAAAACATCATGACATCATATAAGCCTGGGTGATGTCACAATGCAGAATTGTACATGAGCAAAGTGCATTTACTTCTGATTAGCAAAGCAAGTGGTTACTAAAAGCGAGTGGTAACCAAAGGCGATGGTTAAATCTCCCAAACTGCTGTGCAGGCTGCCAGTGTGCAAATCAGACTAACTTCTGTCTGAAATATGTGACAGAAGTTTCAGGGTTAAAAGCACACCTCTAATGGCCATCTTCCTGACAAGAAGTAGAGGCACTTCCCTCGGAGTCAAACCGTTCTCAATGAAATGTTCCTAGAGCAGTATGTGACCTGACAGGAATGCGCACTAGCCTCCCAATGCTTCTGTTGCTGATCTCAGTTAGGGAGGACGACCAGCCGTGGGAAGAGAACCTCGGCAAGGGAGTAAAGGTAAGTTATGCTTCCAGTTTTGGGGAAGTGATGGAAACCACTGCAAACATGTATTACGAACACTATATAGTGTTACATTCACACAGAGATAATGCTAATGGTGTGTGCAGCAAGGGTCATTCTGCAGTTCCGTTTTCCTTTTGCTGAAGTGTGTATGCATTAACTTTGTGTGTGCGTGCATACCCCCCCATGATGGCGTCTCACAATTTTTTTTTAATGAAACAAATAAACACAGCCTTGTGTTGTGTACAAGTGTAAATAATGATACAATGCGAATTTAAAAAAAAAAAAAAACAAACAAAAAAAAACAAACAAATTTCTCCATCGGTGTAGCAGAATTTCAAATAATTAGCAGCAGACATTACCGATGCAAGGAGCTCTATATTACAATGTATCGGGGACTTTGTAAAGTCCTTTATCTGACAGCTTCACACTTTTCACTGAAAGTTCGCAATATTTCTTAGTACATTTGTCAAAAACCTCAATAGGAAAACTATATCCCAAAAAATACACTCTAACGCAAAGCACTCTATTTTGTATCAATATTTTCAGATTTAAACAAACTCTTTCATTAAACTATGCCGATACAACCATTTGCGGATAATTAAATGCAGCTCGTGACTATTTTCGAAGTCATTGAAATGCATCCCTCAACATTTATTTTCCCCCAATATTTGCAAAATTATTATCACGCCAGCCAGCTAAAGGATTTAAAGGGACAACTGTCACCTCAAAACTATTTCTAATTTAGAAACCCTTCCATTAAATTTTTTAATTACATTTTCTTTATGAATGAAGTATATGTAACAGAATGATCAAAACTCATTCCTACCTTTAGTATATATTCAGCCATATACATGCACCTTGGGTCGAACAGTGTTTGAAAACTGACAGTTAGTCTCTATGGTCTTCCCTGTTTCTGCGTATGGAGTGAAGCAGAGCTAACCATAGAGACTGTCCGTTTTCAAACACTGTACAATCCAAGGGGGTGTGGTGGTGGTGGTGGAATATATATTATAAAAAAAAGTTATTTCAAAACTTATTTAATTTCTTATTTAAAAAAAATAAATAAATTTCCCTTTAAAACGCGATAAAAGGATTATTATATGAAAAAAAAAAATAGTTTTGAGGTGGCATTTGTCCTTTGAATGGAAGTTATGGAGCTAGAAAACTAAAGTTGTGTTCCAGGCACTATAGCTGGCTATAGTGTCCCCCTCTATTGCGGCCTCCCCCTCTCCCGTGGTGCACTAAAAGTTAAAAACTTCTGTCACTTACCTAATTCCAGCGCTGATGTCCCTCAGCACCGGTCCGGGTTCAACCTCCGCTCCACCCCCGCCGACCTCAGCCAACGGGGAAGATCGAATACACATGTGCGGCCACGACCGCGCTCACATTAGTATTACCCCCATAGGAAAGCATGTATAATGTGTTATACATGATGCTAAATGGTAGACAGCCACCAGAGGAGGAGTTAACATTCAAAACTTAATTATTGCACTTTGTTAAAAACTGCAATAATTACCTTTGCAGGATTAGGGGACCTGGCAGTATACACCAAGATCACTTAAATGAGCTGAAGTGGTCTGGATGCCTATAGTGTCCCTTTAACAATGACTCCTGCTTCGCACTAACAAGGATTTCTCTTAATGGCTGCTGGGAGAGTCTGTTTAGAAAGTGCCAGTTTTTTTCCTGTTCAACTGCTCTTTGTGCAATCAAGTTAGTTACTCAATTCAGAAAATGTGTGGTCACATTGGCTGGTAACTACGCTCAAGGGACCAAAAGGATGGTCCATAAAATGGGGGGGTTGGGAGATGGAGCGATAGAGAGAGATACATATATATATTTATATTCTATGTTAGATAGATCTGTCAAACCTCTGTTTAATAACAAATTGAACTTTTCAAACAATGGAGGAGGTGGGGGGACAAAACCATACAAAAAAAACACTTCTCCCGTCGCATGATTGGACCATTTCACCGGCTCAGAGCACATATGCGCACTCTTGTTGGCATTGCATAATGGAAGATATTCACATATGTTGTCAGTGTGTGTCAACAGCCGTATTTTATGCACAGAATTCATATTAGGAAGCCTGGAACATAGTTCCTGGGTGCCCAAGTCAAGTGTGCAGGGGGCGGAACAAGTCCCAAGCACACAATTAAAGGACCACTATAGTGCCAGGAAAACATACTCCTCAGGGTCCCCCTCCCGCTCGGCTCTGGAAGGGGGAAAGGGGTAAAAACTTACCTTTTTCCAGCGCTGGGCGGAGAGCTCTCCTCCTCCTCTCCGCCTCTGTTACGCCCCGCCGGCTGAATGCGCACGCGCGGCAAGAGCTGCGCGCACATTCAGCCGGTCGGATAGGAAAGCATTTACACTGCTTTCCTATGGACGCTGGCGTGCTCTCACTGTGAAAATCACAGTGAGAAGCACGCAAGCGCCTCTAGTGGCTGTCAATGAGACAGCCACTAGAGGATTAGGGGGAAGGCTTAACCCATTCATAATTATAGCAGCTTCTCTGAAACTGCTATAATTATGAAAAAATGGGTTAACCCTAGAAGGACCTGGCACCCAGACCACTTCATTAAGCTGAAGTGGTCTGGGTGCCTAGAGTGGTCCTTTAACAATATCTCTGAACGTACAGTGTTTCAGGGAAGACTCTGTACTGAGCCAAGCTTGGTGGGGCAGAGAGGCGCTCTGTCGACACCCAATCATTAAGCCAATAAGCCTTCTCTAGTAGGGCAATCAGCAAACACCAGATACGTTTCAGACCATTCTCAAATGGTTGACTACTTACCATGGGAGGGCACCAGGACACTCCTAGCACCATGACCACTGCAGCAGGCAGTAATTGTTATGGAGTGTTTCTTTAAACATAAATTATAAGTGCTGACAGAAACCCTACTGTATGGAAGGTCACACAAGAAAGGCATTTAAACGTAGTAGGACCACTCATTCACTCAGCACATCCAAATGGGTTATTTCAGAGAAAGTATACCTTTGCTAAGATGGAATCCTCCTCTTGGACACGTCAAAAGACATCTCTTAATTCATGGAGGCTTCTGAATACTAAAGGAAAAAAAAACAAACCAAAAAGCGGTTATGATTAATAAATTTACATAAAGACCTTACATTACAAAAAGGTTTACAAACAAAATGTATTCAGAAAACACTGCTCAAAACAGAACAGTCGACAATCACAAGAGCATAGAGCCCGCAACACATCCCAAAAGTATACAGATTGGATTCCATGCTCTGCAGTAAGACTAATCAAATAACCGTTCCTACACAAGATCTATGTAATGCAATCAACCGCAGGATAGATGTCACACGTTTCACATTTGTTTTTTTGCACATTTGTCATTGTGACAACTTGCTCCCTTATAAAAAATAAATAAATAAATAAAAATATTCTGTTATTCTGTCTGTTAATACTCACACGCATTTTGATTTTGTGCTGTCCATTTTACAAACAAAGAAATACGTATAATAAGTCAATTAGGTGAAAGAAGAAAAGGAAAAGATAAAACCAATAACTACACTATTTGACGAGAGAAAAAAAGTCAGATCTGCAGATAACTGTTGCATGTAACAGGAGGGGGGAAAAAAAAGGCGACAATGTATGCATATTCTAAGCCAGGCATAGGCAATCTTTGGCACTCCAGATGTTTTGGACTACACCTCATATGATGCTTTGCCAGCATTATTGGTATAAGAGCATTATGGGGGATGTAGTCCACAACATCTGGAGCGCCAAAGGTTGCCTACCCATGTTCTAAGCAATTGTTTTACACACAGGATACTGGCGCATGTGGACAAAATAGAGAAAGACTTTACAAACTATTGAAACATTGTATTTGTATTTTCTGTGAATTTGTCCGCTATGTATAGCATTTGTTAAGACTGGCAAGGCATCTTGGGGATTGTATTTCTAAAACGGCTTGGCATATACATTTCGACCACCTCAGGCCTGTATGAAGAAGCAGCATGCTTTCTGGGCTATATGTCAAATCCGAACTGAAGAACAATGTTGGAAGACAAGCCTTGAGACAGGATTGTCAGCAAAAGTCTCTGCACTGGGTTACTGTACAGTCACCTCTGGCAAACACCATAACTAGAATTAGAAAATGGTGCACATTGTGCAAGGTCACAAAATGAAGTTACCGACGCCAAGTTAACAAAAAAAAAAACATCCAGACATCCAGTCTGTTCTAGTAAAACTCCTGAACCCAGATTTAGAACCTTGTATATTTCTGGACAGAGTAAAAACCAAAATGAACAGTGGCAAGGAACGAAAACAAAAACAAAAACACACACCTAACAAAAATGTAAAAAAAAAAAAAAAAATACAAAATAAAAAAGCCCATCAAAGTTTAGAGTATTTTTAAAATCATATCACAGGATACACGGTTTCAACATTGTTCTTTTTTTCCCCCTTTAAAATCAGATTAGTGAGGACATCCTACTTCTCCTGCAGAAGACCGGATGTAGTGCTGGTGCCCTTGGGACCCGGGCTGTAATGTTCATGGATCTTAAAGTGGGTTTTTAGGTCTGGCAAACCATCATGGGTGACCTGTTGGCCAAACTGCTTTAAGACAAAGACAACAGCTAGCCAGCCTGATCCTCCTCCTCTGACGTCACTCTACCTTCGCTGGAGGAGCCAGGGATGGCAGGCTGATGGCACAACAGGGGTAACTGTGCATCAATGCACCTGACCTTAAAGATATTGTCGAGGGAGGGTTTAGGGTGATGTGTCACTATCTGACTTTTCTTATAAGAAGGGCATTAATTCCATTTAAGTCAGCTTGTTACTCTATTGATGATGCCTGCTTTTCCAGTCTACACACCCATATTTTTTCATGACTGCAACATTACACACTCTCATCCCTACATAGCAAAGGGCAGTGACAAGTACCGACAAGACCGTGTTCTGCAGTCTGTGCTCACTGTGCAGAATTCAAAGTGAATGGTTAGGCCCAAGTAGCAGAACTGAAGACATTAACCGAATTGGATAAATTCCCAAATTCTTCATTGTGGCAGATTTCAAAATCAGCATAATTTCACATAGGCTCACAGTTATTTGCCTGGCACCATAGCTCCCTATAGTGCTCCCACCCCTGGTAGACAGCCACTAGAAGAGGAGTTAACCCTCAAAAGGTAATTATTGCAGTTTATTAAAAACGGCCATAATTACCTTTGCAGGGTTAAGGGACCTGGTACAGTGCACCCAGACCATTTCAATGAACTGAAGTAGTCTGGGTGCCTACAGTGTCCCTTTAAAGCCACAAGTCAGACCACCTTTATTCATTATAAAGCACCAACATATTCCAAAACAACTATACAAGCAACAGACAAAATAGATTGTGCAGTAGAATGAGAAGCCTTCTACTTTAAGCACTTGACAGATTCAGATCTGAGATTTAAATGGACATTATAGTCACCAGAACAACTACAGCTTAATGTAGTTCTGGTGAGTATAATCATTTCCTTAAAGGAATACTGTAGTGCCAGGAACACAAAGCTGTATTCCTGGCACTACCGATCCCTCTGACTGCCCCCTCACGTCCACTCCTACCCAGTAAATAAAGGGTTAAAAACCCTTTATTTACTTACCTGATCCCAACATAGATATCCCTTGGCGCTGGGTTGAAGCTCCACCCCTCCTTTGTTTCGAGACGAGCAGGGTTTAATGTGCATGCGCATTAGACCTCCCCATAGGAAACATTGAAGCATTTCAACCCATTGGATTGGGTGCAATCATCAATATTGATTATCTCAGCCATGGAGGCAGGGCCAGCTGAGGCAATGGTAAATAAGTAAAATACCCTTTGACTCCATTCTGAGGAGGGCTGGTTACCTAAACATGCACTCCAGCACTATAGTGTTGAGAATTCAAACATGTATTCCAAACACTATAGCGTTTCTTTATTGAAATTTAATGTTAAACTCTTTGGGCAGACAATTTGGTCATTTATTTATTACTGGTATTTATAAAGCGCCTACATATTCTGCAGCGCTATACAATTGGACATAAACCTGATCACTGCATGAGTGAGCTACAAATCCTAGGAACCGAATAATAAAAAGATACTTTTTAATTACATTCTCACCAACCATCACGAGGACTCCTGCCAGTAAGTAACACACTGGCCACAGCGGCTCAGATATTGTTATCCTTTGGCTGCTGGGAATAACGAACAAATAACCAATCCATTAATAATTTGCTCTAATAGATATTTTACTTGAAAATTTTTGATAACAAAACTACAGACTTTACTCTTGGGGGAAAGAACTACTAAGCAAACCCCTTGTGAAGATTAGGGATCCACAGTCATTAAAATCAGATTTGTAAATGGTTTATCAGCCAAGTTAGGATTTATTTCCAAAACCCTTACTCATCTGAATCTGTGATTGACTCCCAACATATCTCAACTTCTGTGAATAAAAGGAATTTGATGACCATCTTAATTGCCAAAAGAGAATGTTTTACACGATCAGTGCAGGGAAAGCCTCTAGTGGCTGTCGGTATCACAACGGATTTGTTTTACACTGCCCGGTTAAAAAAGACATGGCCACTGCACCCAGACCACTTCATTGAGATAAAGTGGTACTGGTGACTACACCAGGAGGACAAGGTCCCTTTAAATTACTTTGCTGGATAACAGTTACAGTTTAGAATACCATTTTGTTCCCCTCAATAAGTAAATTTAACTTGATGGCACTACTAGCAAGGGAAATAGACTTAAGCAGGCATTCTGAAAATAGAAGAAAACTACTTTATGGATTTACACACGTACTGACCAAAGGAAATACTAGGCCGACCTTTGAAGGCACACACTGAGTCACAGTTGCCAAGTCCAACCTGTAGTAACTACTGAAGTTTGTACTCTAAAACAGGACATAATTATGATCATTGCCACATAATGATTGACTGTATAAATAGAAACACTTGTGATTGAACAGAGCCAAAAACAAAATAAGTTAAATAACCTATTAGATGCCCCTGTGCATCCTTAGTAGCTCACCTTACACTAATTACATTTTACAAATCAACATTTTATTTTCTCAAAAGTTCATCAATCTCACAGCAGAATTAAGGGGTAGAGAAAAAAAAAATATATATATTTTTTTTTTAAATTCATTTATTATTACACACCTGGCAAATATTTAAATGCATATTGCTGGTCCTCTGAAAAATATGCAAATCCACAAAATGATGGCACCCTGAGGACTCCAAATGAAAAGTTAAAAAAAAAAAAATTTTCATTGTTTTTAAAATTCAACTTTTAAAACATTTCTTACAGTATAAATCATCACTTATTTAGCAAAACAAAAAACAAACCACAAAACAAAAGCATTGGATTGATGCTTTTGATGATCTTAGCCAAGGAGGCAGTGTAACTGCGGAGAGATCAGTGCATCAGAAAAGTTAAAGGACCACTATAGGCACCCAGACCACTTCAGCTCAATGAAGTGGTCTGGGTGCCAAGTCCCTCTAGGGTTAACCCTGCCTGCTGTAAACATAGTTTCAGAGAAACTGCTATGTTTACATATGGGTTAATCCAGCCTCTAGTGGCTGTCTCATTGACAGCTGCTAGAGGCACTTCCGTGCTTCTCACTGTGAGAAGACGCCAGCGTCCATAGGAAAGCATTGAGAATGCTTTCCTATGGTCTGATTGAATGCGCGCGTGGCTCCTGCCGCGCATGCGCATTTAGCAGAAGAGGGAGGAGAGTTCCCAGCTCCGAGGGAGCCCGGCGCTGGAGAAAGGTAAGTGTTTAACCCCTTCCTCCAACTTCAGCCCAGCGGGAGGGGGGCCATGAGGGTGGGGACACCTTCAGGGCACTATAGTGGTCCTTTAACTACATTTGTAACCTTTGCAAGGGGAGCAGTCACCAAAATGGTGACTAGGACACTATTTAAGAATACAAATTTGTATTCTCAACGCTATCGCGTTCCTTTAAACGTTCATAATATAACAAAAAGAAAAAAAACTAAAACACAAAAGTTACTGTACTTCAAAGAAACGTTTAGTCCTTTGCCAGCCACAAAGCACTTCTATTCGGTTATCCCTTTTGTTTAGGCTGTGAAGTTCTAATGATCAGTGGCGTCTGCATTAGAAAGCAGATATAAGGGAATAGCTGAAGCCACTTCAAATGCCTCCCCCCCAACTTAGATAAAACATGGTTAAAAGCAAGAGGAAACCTAAAACAAACTTTAGCAACTCCTTAAAATCCTGCACCATAAATTAAAAAGTAGTCCATGTCTTATCTCCGGTACCCTTCTTTACCTCCTCTGGCTTTCTTTCCTATCTCCCATATCCCTATCTTTTTACAGCATAGCAAAAGTCATCGCAATAAATCATTTGACATGAAGATGCGTTCTAGTGGACATTATCTCACTTATTCTACCTCCCCACTGTGGTGACATTTTTTCCCCCCATCACATGCTGCCATTCTTTATATACTGTGACAGATATTACAGTAAACTATAAAAACATTGCGTGTCCACAGCAAAGAAGCAGAGTCACATTTATTTTTAGATTTATACAGCCACTAGGGTAATCCTCCAAAAACATGGAGCTACTCACCAAACAAGATTACGATTTGCAATCTAGCCATGTGCAGTCAGATAGAGCGGCGTTTTTAATTTGAATTGAATTTGATAAATCAATACAAAATGCAAGCACGTAGGCATTCAAGGTAACATAACAGGGGAAGAAAATGTATCAACAATGAATATAGAGAAACAGATCGTAAAAATTAGCCTATGTGATCTAATTATGGTAGAACAATGTACATCTTAATAGAACATTTCAAATCCTATGACGAAATAACATCCTATAAAAATGATTATTGCCTGGCACTACTAACTCATACAGAAAGAAGTTAAAGTCCAGGTAAGACAAATTGCTGCTTACAATTCTTCTCGACGATGTGTTCTAACTGGGAAGGTAGTTATTACTCAGATCTAGAATACAGATTCCTTTCCTGTGTGATAAACCAGTAATATATTTTCACTTGCAGTGCCCTAGTAGGATGGAACAAGACGTGAAGCAACACTTTTTTTTTTTTTTTTAAGAAAAATACAAATCTATGGGCTACAATTGCAGTAATGCAGACATAAAGCTGTATTATACATCACACTCAACAACTGTGAACCAAGTTATTTTCAAGTTTGCAGTTTTAAAAACAGCAGCTTCTAATCCAAGCACAATTTCAACTAAAATGTAAAAATATAAAAATAACATAAGATTTTTCTTTTCCAGCAATACTAAATTTTGGCATTTGCAACCTTTTGTCTATAGTTCCCAATTTGCTGTATAATTCATGGAGTGCTGCAATAGCTAAAACAAAAAAAATGTACACCTTTTTTCGATCTCCACTTTATCTAAGTTGGCATATGTCAGACCCACCAGTGTGAAATGCCATGTGTCAAACTTACTGGGGCCGGCTGTTATATATTGGAGTGCTGCCAAGTTTCCGTGTTTGGTTATTGCGATAAAGGTTGTACTCATGTCAAGCCATTTTCTATACATTGTACATTACTTTTTGTGTTATTTCTTCTAGAATTAGAAGTTGCTTACACCAACTGAACCAATGCTGTAGAACAAGCATGTCAAACTTGCGGCCCACGGGCCACATGCGGTCCACAATGACTATATTTGCGGCTCAGCAGAAGCAGCTCTCTAATTAGGCGATTTAGGTGGCTGCCTAAGGCCTCACGGCCGCCAAGATCACCTTAGGGCAGACTAACAAGTCGGGTCCTCGGTATAAGACCGAGGGCCTGGCAGCTTGCCCATTATGACGTCAGTGCGAGACCCTTCCCTCAGCCTTCTCTGAGAGAGCCAGCACTACAGTCAGTCTGCAGCTCTGCTGGGTGCAGAGCTGGAGACTGAAGTATGTTACGATCTTCAGCCAGTCAGAGCGTTGCAGCGGGTTACAAAGGCAACGCTCTGACTGGAGATCGCAAGACACTTACCATGTGGTCTGAAGCTCTGCACGCGTCGGAGCTGCAGATCGGATAAACAGACCACCAGGGAATGGATTAGGAGAAACTGCTATGTTTATAAATGGGTTAATCCAGCCTCCAGTGGCTGTCTCTTGACAGCCGCTAGAGGCGCTTGCGTGCTTCTCACTGTGTAATTCACAGTGAGAAGACGCCAGCATCCATAGGAAAGCATTATGAATTCCTTCCTATGAGACCGGCTGAATGCGCGCACAGGTCCTGCCGCGCATGCGCAGTCAGCTGAAGAGGAGGAGACGAGGAGGAGGAAAGCTCCCCGCCCGGCGCTGGAGAAAGGTAAGATTTTAACCCCTTCCTCTCCCCAGAGCCCGGCGGGAGGGGGACCCTGAGGGTGGGGGCACCCTCAGGGCACTATAGTGCCAGGAAAACAAGTATGTTTTCCTGGCACTATAGTGGTCCTTTAAGTTTGTTTTTTGCGGCCCACATAATCCTTGTTTATGTAGCCCATGTTGGCCTTTGCGTTTGACATGCTTGCTTTAGAATATTGTACAGCTGTATCATTATGGCGTTATTCGCTACAGTGTAAAACGTCAGGAATTCAACATGCATTACACATTTTAGACCAAAATAGCCCAAACTAAAAGCATAGCTGACTTGGCAAGTTTTTACAAGTGAGCTACTGAAATCCATTTTGAATTCTAGACAATTCACAATTTTTAAAAATAATCCTGATAATAACAATTACACTTATGGCATGTGGACAGCGTTGTATCTGAGCCAGAATTGTCATTTTTAGAGATATAAACCCGCAAATCCTGCTTGGAGCATAAGACACAAACTGTGGACCTTTGACTCCGTCACACAAACCGGCCAATGACTAACCCACCAGTTACAACGCTGCTGTAACTCAATAACCGTTTGCTTGTTAACATTAGCAACATATGTAAATTTAATACATACACTGTTTCTATTTCTTGTTTTGGCACTTTCATTTTGTACTCTTTTTCAGTCTACACAACGCGTTTTATAAGTGCTGTGGAATTAGGAGAGAGATTTAGATGTGTCAGTTTTTGCAGATATCAAAAAGCAGTAACTCCTAATATATTGGGCTGACTTTGTTATTTTGGTCCATATTGTTTACAACGGACAGAGCCCTCTTATCCCAGATTGTACCCATTGCATTCAAGAAATTGTGAACTGGGCTCTGTTTAAAGCATAGCTACACTTTCTATTAAATGATGCAAGTCACCGTGGAGGAGGAATGCCAGGAAACAGAGTGACGGGGACAAACTCCAACCCTTTTAAACAAAAGGTTTACGTGCAGCACATCATTATGTAATGACACTGCAGGTTAATGCTGCGCCACACAACCCTACTCCTTCCTAAGGTCAAGCAATCAGTCCTGCCTCCAACGCTTACAATAATGGGAGTGGTGATCACAGTATTGGAGAAGGCTACAAGCTGGCCTCATGCATAGACTGGTTTCAGCACTATCCAATCTGCTCTGCTCAAACACTGTCCCTGTTCTCAGGCACTCTTAAAGCGCCAGTCACATGATTATACAAGCTGTCACGTGCAGAGCATTACGACTGTCCCTTCATTGAAAGAGAACGCATGCACTCTCGCAAGACAGTTTCCCATTGTTTTCAGCTTTCATTTACTAATAGGCAGAGTCACAAAGAAATCAAGAGAGGAAAAAAACCAAACAAAAAAAATACCGAACCACTGATTTCAATAATTCTGCTCTCTAGCACAGAAATTCCAGGGGTTTAAAAGAAGACAAACATTTAGAATGTAGTCCTGCAAAACAAACAAAAACCCCACAGATCTTCTATGATGTTAGTTTTTATAGTTTAAACATACTTTGTAGAGCGTTGCGATGGGGATATAAAACAATAAAAAAATATATATATAAATAGTCGACAGAAACCAGGATAATACTTTGAAAATATGGAAGAAACTTAGGCATACTATAGTATCGATGTATAGGAATATAAAAAAAATTTTAAAAAAGGAACCAGTTTACATCTTAGACATTTGAAACGGACGCGAGAGAAATACACTTCGCTGAACAGGAAATCACTTGACCATTGAACTGCGCCTTAATGCAGAGAATGCAAAGCCAGTAAAACCACACGATGAGTCCGTCTGCTGCCAGACAGGCCTGCCTCAGCCATATGCTGCCATTTCACAGATGTGGGGAAAAACAACACAGATTGTGATCACTTTACACAACTTTCCCACAATACCGTGGGGTATATTCACTGAACAATGGTTTGTGATCACTTTCGCAAAATGAAGGCCACACGAGAAAGCAAAAAAAAAACCAAAAAAAAAAACCTCCTTTCTCCAAGTCCATAATTAGGTCAAATAAGACTACAGAGAGATGGGAAATCTCTAATTTAGACATAAGTGGCCAAACTGGATCAATTCTCCTAGCCAGCCGTGTTTTCAGTTGGGCTATTTTGGGATAAAATGTGAAATATATGTTGGATTCCCAGAAATCATACTTTAGTCAATAATCTCGTTAGCGAGCTGTCAAATTAAAACTTTCAGGTGTTGCTTAACGCATGAATAGTTGAAAGGGCTTCATTAGCTACATTGTGAAACCACTGGGTTATTAAGACAAGGTGCTCATTCATGGAGCATTAGCATGGTTATGTTTGGCATTTGCGTGGTGTGAGCCATGTTGACTCTCCATTGCTGTAAGTCATTAACAAAATCACAACAAGATCTCATCCACATATCCCCCACATTAAATTGTGATTTTAATTTTTTAATTTTCTGGGGTCACACTTTTTTGGGAGTGCTTTAATTACCTTCCCTGCCCTTGCTTGTCATGTACACCATTTAAAGGTATACCACATTGCCCAAAAATAAATTCATTGTTTAGTAAATATAGTGAAAACCGACATGCATTTAATTAACCCCTTAAGGACAGAGCTTCAGAAGCTTGTCTTTCACTTAATGACAACAGCATTTTTTGCTGTTTACGTTCAACTGCAATTTGCATTTTACTAATTTATTGCACCGACACATTATATACCTTTTCTTTTTTAAAAGGACAGAAAGGGCTTTAATTTGATGTAACACATACACACACACACTAATATATATATTAAAAAAAATACAGAAAAATGCAACAACAAAAAAAAAATTGTTTTTATTTTTTTACAGTTTTTGCAATAATAATGTGTACCTAATTAGTGCAGGTTAAAGAAAGTAATTAAAAATAAATTCATTTAGTTGTTCTGATTTGTCTGGGATTTTAAGTTTTTTTTTGGTAGTTACAGGTCACAAAGCACAAGGAGTAAAAAACTTTTAATGTGGAGCGATTTTAGAATTTGGTATGTTTGTCATAGCCATAAAATAAAACAAAATTGCCACACAAAAGTATATATTTATATAAAGTAGACATCACAGGCTATTGTCCTAAGGTTGTTTTGACACTTTCTACGTAGCCATTTCACCGCCAACCTCTGCTAAATATTGGAGTAAAATTGCATTTGTGTTTTTTGGCACACAAACTTATAACAAAGAAATTCTCATGTATATTTTGTAAAGTTGGTGTGTGCTATTCCTGTTTTATTTTGTGTTCAGTTACATCTGCTGAGTAAAATGACACCCCCATTGTATGTCTTTAGCACTATTTCGTGAAGTTACAGTGCCATACAGGATACCTGTCCTTTTCAGTATTCACAATAGAATTTTGAGACTGATTTAATGAGCCTTTGCTTACATTTGGGGTATTATTATATAAAAGTTTGACTGTTCAAAAAAAAAAAAAAAAACACTAAGGCCTACCATTTGTAAAAGCAGACACTCCAGGGTATCTCATAAGGTGCATATTGTGCCTTAACAGGCCCCATTTTTTCACCAATATATGCCAAAGTATGTGGTAAAAAATAATTGTGCTTTTTATTTTTTTATATACGGATTGCATTTTTGCTGGGCATTTTGTATTTTTCATATGTGCCACTAAGTTCAAACCCCCCAAATTATGCTCAGCTAAGTCTTCTGAGTATGTCTTTGGCACTATTTTGTGAAGCTACAGTGCCATATAGGAGACCAAGCCATTTATCAGTTTTTACTGAACTTTGAATTTTGACGCTGGGCGTATGTGCAATTTCCAAGCATCTTCGCAGGATTTAAATTCAAACTACCCCACAAAGGCCTACCATTTCTTAAATTAGACACCCCAGGGTATTTCAAAGGGTATATTTTGAACCTTAGCGTGGGATCATTTTTCCACTAGCTTGTATCAGGTGTAGTGGTAATAAGCGTTTTTTCTGCCTTTTTGACACAAAGTGAGTTTGCACAGTATATTTTGCAAACCTTATGTGTGCTACGACTGTATAATACTTCATAAGTTGCTCAGCTATGTGGTCTGAGTACAGCAATACCACCGTATGTACCTTTGCCAGGTATATGTGGACATCAGAGGGGCACATTTGGGATACAGCCATTCCAGTTTTTTCCAAACTTTACATTTTTACGCTGTGCCCATGTCCCATTTTAGAGTGTTTTACCAGGCTATATAATCCGAATACCCCATACCATTTCTTAAAGAAGACATCCCAGGGTATTTCAAAAAGCATATTTTGAACCTTAGCGTGGGATCATTTTTCCACTAGCTTGTAAGATATGCATTTTTTCATTTGGGGTATTTGTACTAAATTGTTAAAAAATTAAATGGCATGTTCCTTTAAGATACCAAATCACAGACTGATTCAAACAGGCTTAACCCCTTAAGGACACATGACATGTCATGATTTCCTTTTATTCCAGAAGTTTGGTCCTTAAGGGGTTAAAAAAAACAATGCAATAATGTACCTAAGAAATTCCAGGATATTTAAATCACTAAAAACATTTTCTAAATTGTATGAGCATTCCACCAGCATCATGCTCAACCTTGGGCCTATAGATTTTAAACAAACAAAAATATGCCACTTTATATATTTAATTTTGGCACCATGACAGACACGTTTTATTGCTTGTCGACTAACCAACCACAATTTTCAAGCGGTCCAAAGCAGGAACCAAAATGGGAATATTTTTGCCTAATGTAATGAATGGGAAAAAAAACTAAACAAAAACATGAACAGTAGGGGGCTAACAGCTTTGCAAAAACATCCATAGAACATTTCTCACTCATTGCTCATCCGCACATAATAAAGACACTGACATATTGAAGGAATTTAGAAAATATACCCTACTAGCTAGCGGAATTGTATTGAAGTGCAAGCTTTCGAGATTAATGACCTCTGCTCTTATCTTCAAGCAGCATATAACAGTGATGAATACACTGCAATAGCTCAGAATTCCTTGGCGATTAATCACCAGCCTTTTGTGGAAATCGCCAGTCATTTGTTTGTGAAACAGACATTGTCAACCTTAACAGTCCACATGTGCATGTATAATAAAAATCACAATCATATTGCATATACGTAAATATATTCTATAGACAGGCAATGTGTATATTTCTTGACTCAATGCTTTCCTCTGGGGATTTCACGGACACTGGATGTCCTTATGCAGAGCTTGAGCACGTCCAGCATCAGTTAAGTGACCTTAAATCCCGGGTAGACAGCCACTAGACGCTGTTGTCCTGTAAACTTTGCAGTTTCTCTAAAACTGCAATGTTTTACATTGCAAGACTAAGGACAATAGGGACACTGTACCCAAATCCCTTCAATGAGCTGAAGTTGTCTGGGTGCCTATAGTGTTTCTTTAATATACATATAAGGTTCATGGGCTACAGTTAATTATGACGCATTGCATTGCATAGATAAAATTCACTAAAATACAATAAACTGATGGGTAATAAACCCTCCCTTCAGTATAAGAACAGTAGGATGTTCGCCATCAGTTTTTAAGAATAAGAATGTCTCGCCAAAAACAGCAATGGTCAATTATGTGATGAATTGAATTTGAACCTATTTTTGGACTGAAACCAGGTTGCGACTATTATGCGGTGGCGACTATTATGCGGTGAAATACAGTCAATTTCAATATATCTTAAGTGAGAAAATATTTTAATAAATAAACAGGTTCTGTGTAGAAGAGAAACAAAGTACCCCACACTCGTGTTGTCACGCGTCAATACAATGTGGTCTGCATTGGCGAAACATTGAAAAAGAAATACTGCCTAGGTTAGTTGAAAATGCCATAAACCTACCAGCAAGTGCCCGTTATCAAACACCTAAACATGGGAACCCTGGTGACCTTGGTGGGTCTCGGAGATAAAGAAGGAGCGATGTTTGCATTTTCTTACTGCTCCCCAGAGACCCTGCATCGTAACTCAACTGTAGTAAGCCACAAGAGAGCAGCAAGGTAAATATAGCAGGAAATATACACCTCCTGAATGAGAGAAGCAACAGACGGACTACAAACATGGCTAGTCACCTGGAAGACTGAGGACTTCTAAAATGCAACGGTAGGAGGAAATTCACGCTGCGGTTTATTACATGACAATGGTATATAAAGGCATAATCAAAATCTGATATTTGGTCCAAAACGTTGCCAAATTCTCTTTGGTGACAGCGAACGTAGCAGCTTTAATTTGATCTATATTTCTTTTCCCTATACTTAGCATTCTTGGAAAAACGTAGGGAAAAATAAATACACAATTTCGGGATCTAGCTTTTTGTTTTAAAAGCTACAAAATTACTGAAACCGAGAACTTATGTATCTAGAGAGAATTTCTGAATATCAGGGACAGTTGTTGTCAGCAATGCTACCTAGCACCTGGAATATGACAAATACGCACGCACACAATTTAGAATGAGATTTTTTTACATCACTCTTGGACTCCAACCAGCACAGCCCACAAAACACAAGCAAAGCCAGGCTTGTTCTATATTGAGCAAAAAATTGTCTTCACAGCACAGATGCAGTCTAGAGATCGGGCCAAGAATTCCAGCGAAGAAATGTGCCATGTAAACCAGAGTATCTTGCAAAGCATAGAACACAGAGTCAAAAGAGCTTGCAGACAACTGCCTACAGGAACGCAATGGGTCAGTCATCACAAAGCCTCCATGTTGTGGCATATTAACTAAATTTAAATGGCTTGATTTTATTTTTTTCTTCTTATTAAAAATCCTTAATTATTAAAAATGTTTCTGTTTAAAAGAGAACTTGTCACCCCCTTACCACACCCCTCTCCTCCCCCAAACTACTAATGCTCATTTCAAAGAGTTTTGCTACCAAATTATAAATTGGGAGACATTTTATTTTTAAGGAAATCGGTTTTTCTCTCACCTAATCAATACATTTTTGGGCATAAACTCTATGCCAAAGAATTGATTTACGGGGAGAGCATAAGGGACCTCCCAAAAGAAGTCCTCCTGCTCTCGACACACAGCGCATCTCTAGCCAATGCCACTAGGGCCGATTAGAGAGTGTAGGAACGGATATTAAGAAACGTTTCCATCATGGAGGGGCCTTTCCCTAGCAGGGCAAAACGGTGAGGAGTGAAGGCATACCGGAGGTCGGTATCGTTGCGGGGGGCGGAGGGCCAGATAAGGCATGACTGGTTCTTTTTAGCTTTACTGCTATAATTAATACATTGCTGATTGTGTGCGTGAGTTTCTGAAATTTGTTATTTTGCTGTGTACATGCAGGGGGTGGGGGGGGAAATATTAGACAATCACTGATTTTGTCCCAACAACTATCCATCCTACCTTTATCAGAAAATTATACGTAGAGCCTGCATGCAGCTGTTTAATAAACTACTCAGCAAAGAAATAGCAGATTGTCTATTCACAATTTTTTTCATAAACAAAGCAACTTAATAGGGGGGTGAACAAACAAAAACAAATTACTTTATTAAAATTCATTACACAGAAGCCCTGAACAAAAGGCAGAAGATGGTAGATTTCATAATTGCAGATTTACAAATCCAGAATTCAAAGTATGTTTCAAAATATATGTGGCACAGTGATTGGCTGTTTGATGTAGAGACAGCCAACAACATTATGAATTCCAGTGACTGACTGCTTTCACAACCAATAGCAGTTCCGAAAAAGGCAGCATTGAGCGTCACGGAAGTGCCACTAGTGGCGGTCAGGAAGACAGCCACTAGAGGCTGGATTAATCCTGCAATGTAAACATGGTCTGAAACTGCTATGTTTACATCTGAAGGCTTAAAACCTGGGGGGACCTGGCACCCAGACCACTTCATTGAGCTGAAGTGGTCTTGGTAACTATATTATCCCTTTAAGTCTAAACTGCTCGAAAACCCCAAAGAGACTTATTGTACCATAACCTTGATAACGAGCCATTCTGTTTATGCTGTTCAGAGTGCTCTTTAAGCAGCGGGCAACTGCAGCTTCCAGGACTTTATCATAACATGATACACAAGTACGTCCCGTCTAGGCCCTTACGCTCTGCTGAAGACTTACGTCAATCTTCTGTCCGTACTCCCATTGCTGATGCTCACCTTTAAGACTTCAAGGGCTGCACCGTTCCTGTGGAACTCCCTTCCCTCCGTTAGATGCTCACCCAGTCTCCACTCCTTCAAAAAATCATTAAAAACCCACTGCTTCATAAAAGCGTATCAATTAAACTGTTAATTTCTCCCGACTGATTCCGTTCTTGCAACTGTCATTAGTCTAATACTATCCTTACCTTTTGTGTCACTTTACCCCACCCCCTCTAGCATGTAAGCTGATTGAGCAGGACCCTCAACCCCTCTGTTCCTGTGTGTCCAACTTGTTTGGTTACAACTACATGTTTGTTCGTCCACACACTGTAAAGCGCGGCAGAACTTTTTGGCGCTATATAAATAACAACATGATGGCTGCCTTCAAGAACTAGACTTTCCTGCAGGACGTCTCTCCATAACAAAACCGCAAAGAACATTTCTGGACCATTGCACACTCAAATGACATAACTGCATATAGAAAAATATATCCATCTTTCCTGAAGAGTGCAGAATTTAGCCCCATATTCCTCATACAACTCCATTAGACAGGAAGAGGCTATAGAAACTCCTGGCCACTAATCAGGAGTACTAGGACCGAAGGGCCAACAGTGGAATCAACCCAATGCATACTCAAATCAGGATTGAATCAGAAAGCCTCGGACTAGGAGCTGCGGTTGATAGGCTGAGAGTGTCAGATTCAATTTAAAGTGAATTTCAAATATTAGACCAAAATAACATTTTGGCAATGGATTTGACATTCCCTTTGTATTCCAGACAATTCTCACTTCAGTAAATAACCCTGTAAGACATTAATTTACTCAGCAGGGTATGTGTATAATAAAAAAAATTATATATATATATATATATATATATTCAATTTTAGTCTGGGTTTCTGGCACTTTTCCTATATTCGCCTAATAATTCCCTTATTGTAAGCAAAATATTCCTTTGTGCACCTCTTCCATCACTATTTTCCTGCTCAATCTTGGTTATTTTTTAAGCTAACCTATATAGCGCCAAACAACATGTTCCACTATGTTAGAGTTACAGATGTCCCGAAACCGCTAAGGAACTTTCATATCTTTCCTTTCTGTTTAAATCCTTCAAATTCAGAATGTATAGCAATTACATAGTAATGTTACCAAATTGTTTTAAGTGCACAAAATTGCAAAGGTGAAAGCCAGTGTGATGTTTTTTATACTGGTGTCTATAACCTGTCCCTGTAGGTTTTTCAATGTAAGCTCTGCTTTTTCAGAGAAAAGCCAATGTTTACCTTGCTGCCTAGGTAACACCTCTAGTGGCAGTCACTCACAAGCCACTAAAGTGTCTCCTATCTCAGTGCTGCACAATATGCAGCACCTACATTCAGCGTGGAGGCGGCGCTGAAGTTCCCCATAGAGATGCATTGCTTTAATGCTTCACCATGAGGTGATGTTGATTGGCAATTGATAATCTCAGTTATGGAGGCAGGCAAGCTGCGGCTAGACTGGCACGGCGTTGGAAAAACACCATTCCCATGCGATCGGAGGCTGGTGACCTAAACATACACAGTCACTGACAAAGAGGCACTGACAAGATATTTATTATTTGATACACACACAAAGAATCATAGATGCACACAAATACACACACACACACACACACACACAGACAGACGTATATACACATAGAAATAAAAAAGTGAATACATATTTTTAGCCACTCTCCTGTTTTCTATATTTTGGGCGCAGGAGACTTGCTTCCCTGGGATCCAGTGGGACTGGGCACTGCAAGAGGCAGATTGGTGGGGCTGGCTGCACCTAATGGAGGGCTGCTGCTGGTCAAGACTCTCCTCCACCTGTCTCGATATCACATGCAGCTCACGGTGCGCCGGGAGGAAGTGAAGGGATCTGCAATTACTTCCTCCCGGCGATGAAGCCGCGCAGTGGAACTATTGTGCGGGCGGTTGGGTCTGTGAAATGTGGGCGGGCGGGCGGCAAACAGACGATTTTGCCAGGTGTCCTGCAGTGCGGCCCTTAGCACCGGAGGAAAGTAGTTAAAGTTCACTTCCTCCCGGTACACAGAGTGCTACACGAGGATTGAGATAGGAGAAAGAGAAGGGAACGGGGTGACCAATCCCAGGAGCCAGGGCAAAATTCTTAACCGCCATTGCGACTGGGATTTGTCGAGCCCTGACTTACCTGGTGGTTCCAAAATGGCTGACATCCCTGATTGTGCTGAGCGGGACTTACCAAAGACATGTGACTGACTGTGTTGGTATTCTTGGCTGAAGTTGGCTATCAATTCTACACCCAATTTACCACAACAATCTTCATTGCCACGTTCTGACTAAGAGCAGGCTGCTACGGAGGGTCTCAGGGTCCCCATTGCTTGATGTTTAAGGGCACAATGGCACTGGATGGGAGAGACTCCTGCACTGGTTTTACACCCGGAAGGCCCCGAAACAACAGCGGGAATGCCAAGCTGTTACTTGACATAGAAGATTAATACTCCGTACTGGATCTAGGACCAGGATCGCTCAGAAGGCCAGGATCGCTCTGACTAGGGAGCATGGTGTTTCTGTCTGTAAACAGACCTGGAGGCATTTTCCTGAAACTTTTGAAAGCCATGAACCCAGTGACAAGGAGACAACGGACTTTATCAGCTCTCAACCTCCTGTCTACCCAGTTATCCTTCTAAAGGAATTGGATAGACTTTCAGGACACTTCCTCTGCACATAGTTTTCGGTGTTGAGGTTTTTCTTTGAACTAGTTTAATCTCCATTTGTTTATTATCTTTTTGCCATCTAAATCAATGATTTATTGAGCCAGTGAGAAAAGATTAGAATGCCTGATCTGTAGTGAGCATCCTGCTCGATTAGCTAATATCCGAGGGTTCTTTATATCAAAAATACACTTACACCAATACTAGTTCTGCTACCAGTTAATCGACCAACTTGGTAATACTTAAAAATGAGATGTCTATCAACCAGAATTATGTGACATAGCTAACTATGCTGATATATCCTGGTCAAACATTTTATTTTTGTATTATGCTATTATTTCAATAAAACCACGATTGACAAAAAAAAAAAAAAGGCACCCTAAGCACCACAACCACTACAAAATGAACCCATCCCCACAGCTCATGACTGCAACTGGACTGATTTGTACAACAGCCTGAGAGTTCAAAAACAGTTTGGAGGCAATCATACAATATACTATAGTGGTTAAAGTGCTTAGAGTATCCCAGTAATGAGAATTAAAGGCTTAGCATATATTTGGATTCCATTACAGCCTATTCTTTCAGCAGTGAAATAGTCTACATAATAAACCAAGCACTAGGAACGAATGACAGTATGCGCAGTGCTAAACTATGACTAAGCAATGAAATGACCTAACACCACATTACTAACAAGAAAAGTGAATAATCACTCACAAGAAATTCAAATACTATTTTAAATATGGGTGGACAGAAATTAAGTAATCCAGATCAAAATAGGGAAGAGTTAAAAAAACAAAAATAAAAAACACACACCACAGTGCACCTTCTTGAAGTGCATTTAGTGGTGGTACTGGTATGTTGCATTTCGCACTAAATGTGACATGACATGTGAAAGAGCCACTATCATCCAGACTGCAAAATGTCCAGTTACCTTTCGAAGTGCTGCAGACACACTTTGAATATCATAATATAGTCAGTGCCCCTCCTCTAATCCATGCACTTCAGCTGCGGTTTCAGATAGACTGAATGCTGTCTGTAGAATACCCAGGTAACAGCGGCTCACACTAGAGAAGGCAATTAAACAGCATTAACAATCCTAAGACACTCTAAATTTATAAAATATTTTACCAGGAAAGATACATTAAGATTTCTCTCGGGTCCACAAATTAAAAATGAAATGGCTATTGACACAACTATGCAAAGTAGTGACCTGTAATCAAACTTTGAGATAACGAAAGCCTTCGGTGCTTAGAATGTCCCTTTAAATGGAACCCATAGTGCTCAAAACAACTTTACTCTCTAAAAGGAGCAAACAATTCCATACATTGTGCTAGCAGGTTTTCTAACTATATATAGACTGGGAGAAAAACCCAATTAAAAAATGTCTCACATTTGTCTCAATTCATCGGCAGACACTCATTGCATGCGCTAGCTAGGGGTATAGGAACGGAGTGGCGTGACATCACTGATAATGTAAGCCAAATCGGTGATCGTCCAAGGAGGAGTGCGGGCAGACCAAAGTGTAGCAGAGGAGGAGCTGGGGTTGAAGCTTGCTAATGTGATCACAGCGGAGGAGTCCAGACCAAGGTAAATGGCTGCAGGTTCCCTTTACCACTCTAGAGTTTATTCAATAATCAGAGAATATTGAGTGAATTGAAAATCCAACATTTACGCAAAAAATAACTTGATTGGAGTATGGTAAGTGGATATCTCAAAAATGTACACTGCATGCATCATCATGTATTTCTCTGTGATCTATAATGTGGTCAATGCTTTGGGGTAGATGGGTGAGGTTGCAAAGACAGGTTCACTTTAACACTGATCGGAGGGACAGCGCATCTGAGGATCCAAGCACTGTAACCGGTTTAAATCAGATGAAATGACTATAGTGCTACAATGTTTCTTTAAAGGAAAACTGTATAGAATTTTGGCACACACACTGCACCTATTTAAACAAAAAAGGAATTTTTTTTTTTTTTTTTAAAGGGACACTATAGTCACCAGACCAACTACAGCTTATTGAATTTGTTCTGATGAGTAGAATCATTACCTTCAGGCTTTTTGCTGTAAACACTGTCTTTTCAGAGAAAATGGCCTAGTGATAACTTCACTGGCCACTCCTCAGATGGATGCTAGAGAGCCTTCCTGGGTCATGGCTGCCTAAAATGCATGCAGACATTCAGTATCTCCTCCCTCTGCATGCAGACACTGAACTTTCCAAATAGAGGTTCATTGATTCAATTAATCTCTATGAAGAGATGCTGATTGGCCAGGGCTGTGTTTAAATCATGCTGGCTCTGCCTCTTTGTCAGTCTCAGCCAATCCTATGGGGGAAGCATTGTGATTGGATCAGGCCACCACTTTTAATGATGTCAGCAGACTGCTTGCTAGTCTGAGACAAACAGCATGCAGAGCTACAGCTTCAGGCTTGAATACAGTAATATTTTGCTATATTTATGGAGTCATGAGGGGCCCAGGGGGGCTAGATGGTGGAGTTAACACTATAGGGCCAGGAATACATGTTTGTGTTCCTGACCCTATAGTGATCCTTTAAAATTTACAAACAAAATCCATACGCATTTACATCCTAGATCAATTATAACGAAATTCACAAATAAATGTAAACAAGTTTATTATGAAATGATACCCCCCTCCATTCCAGCCATTTTGGGTTTTGCCTTCCTTCCAATTCCCTGGTTAATTCCCAATGAGTGGTTTACTATACAAATCCTAATTTACTGTAAATATCAAAACACTTAGTGCATTCAGCATTCCTGTAGTGATAGGAACACATTACTTTTCCTCTCTTATTAAATTATGTGGATGACTGCTGTTAAAATATTCATATTATACCGTGGGATTTGGAATTAAAAAGCCTGCCCCTTAAGAACCAAAGATGGCAACACCCAATCCAGCCTCAAAGCAGAACTTTATTCATATCTAGAAAAAGTAAAGCCAAGTAACTCGAGTTTTATACAGGATAACATGAGCCCAAACCAATTTGGCACACACCGGCCTCAAAACACAACAGGCATGAACCTAACTGTACAATATGGAGCAGGGGTGGTGAAAAAAACATAGAATCACTGCTGTTTTAAAGCTACAACTCCCATCATGCTTTGGAAGCCTTAAGAGAACAGTTGGGTATTCATCCTCTGGGCGGCCTTGCATTAGAGCTTTGTAACAGTCAAGCATTTAATGCTATGAATTAAAATTCCATCCATTGCAAAGCAAAGTTACCAGTTATACAGGACAGAAATCTACGAAAAGTTAGTAAGTGCTTAAAATAGTATTTAAAATATTCAATTATATTACTTTAGTTAAAATTAGGAAAAGGGCATAGAGATAAAGTCTTGGCAATTGTTTGTACTAGACTACAATTACCAGGCCTGTATGTGGAGCTACAAGTTTTTATTTATAAATAAAAAGTTACCTAGAAATATAATTAACTAAGATACTTCCACACATCAATATATATATATATATGAAATTTTAAGGTGGTGTAAGTGAAAAAATCTACACCTTTAAGTGGAGCGCTAAAACAAATCCAAAACTTACCACATGTTACTTGGTTAAAGGTTTGGTGTGGAGTACATGTAAAAGAACAAAAACAAAGTGTACAAAATAGTGCAGATGGTACTTAAAAGTGGAATCCAGTATGTAATATAGCAGACAGAACACTCACATTTAAAGGATATAAGTACTGGCTCCGTAATCAGGCTGGTGTGCTTATATGGTAGCACCACCCTTCCACTTTGTTTTGGAGTGATTCTCGTGGACAAAACATAAGAGAAAAACAAACCAATGTGTAGCCTGTAACAATGGAGGGTAAAAGTATGAAATAATAAATGGGATGAAAAAAAAAAAAATTATATATATATGCGCCAAAAATAATCCGTAGAAAGAAAACTTCGCTTTTTATACAGTGTAACTGTTAGCGTGGCCCTTTGGGCATGGGTCATACAGTGTAACCGTTAGTGTGGCCCTTTGGGCATGGGTCATACAGTGTAACCGTTAGCGTGGCCCTTTGGGCATGGGTCATACAGTGTAACCGTTAGCGTGGCCCTTTGGGCATGGGTCATACAATGTAACCGTTAGCGTGGCCCTTTGGGCATGGGTCATACAGTGTAACCGTTAGCGTGGCCCTTTGGGCATGGGTCATACAGTGTAACCGTTAGCGTGGCCCTTTGGGCATGGGTCATACAATGTAACCGTTAGCGTGGCCCTTTGGGCATGGGTCATACAATGTAACCGTTAGCGTGGCCCTTTGGGCATGGGTCATACAATGTAACCCTTAGCGTGGCCCTTTGGGTATGGATCATACAATGTAACCCTTAGCGTGGCACTTTGGGTATGGATCATACAATGTGTGTAGTGGTCTTCCCAGCCATGGTAAAAAGTAAACCGTAAGACTGATGCCTCCATTCTCATATAAGTAAATACCCCAAAACTAGTCCACTAAATCCACTGATACTCTTTGCAGTTAATTTAATAAAACACCAAATCATAATTTTTCCAAAAATAAAGAAAGAAAGCACAATTTCAAGCTAAACTATCCAAGCAGTGACTACACTACGGTTGGGAAAATGTTCCAAATGTGTAGTTTGAGCATTCACTATTCAGCCTGCCTATCTATTGACAATAAGCTTCTCATTTTCAAAACAGGTTTTGTTTCATCTCTGCCCTTCCTGGTTGTTTTTTCTGGGTCCTTAACCAATATTGCATTAAGAGCGCCAGCAATTTATTATTGCACACATGGTTAACCCCTTCTTTGAAGGACAACAGCAAGAGTCAGCTAATCACCAGGGATTAGTGCTAACATATTAAATGAATTCACCAATATGGAATTCAATAGGTCTGAATAATGAGATTTACTACTTTGGTGTAACATTATTACACAGCAACCTATAGAACTATCGCATACATTCCAAGTTAGTCAAGTCAAAAACAAATCTTACTAAAAGTTTGGATTCCCACAAGCGAAAAACAAACAAAATAACAGTTAGCCAGGAAATAGCTACAAACAGCCTCACACGGATTTCAAGTAAATTACCCCAGTGACCTTTTGAGCAAATCACATATTCACTTCCTAAACACCCCCTCCCCCCCTTCACAAAAAATAGCAATCATCTCAAACAAATCTGCAAGAAAATGGAAGTGGGTGTGTAAAAGTAAATTCATATTTTACAGTAGCCACACCAGATGTGCTGTGAAACCAGGCTGTCCAAACAGATTTAAAGGCAACAAAGTGGCTATCCTGAAGGGGGTTTATTTTATCTTTGTATTTCAGAGTTAACATATTGGTAGGACATCTGTGTCATCATGTAAAGAGCGGTCCTGGAGCGAAGTTCTAAATAAGAACCATCCAGCAAGAGCATGGCATTGGTTTCCATGGCGACTGCTCCACTTTTAGAACTTTGCCCTAGAATTACTGTATACTTAACCCCATGTGATTAGTAATGATTTAGGGCTGAATAAACAGAGTCCACATACAGCAGTGTCTCCTGCTGCAGAACCTCTTGATCTTATGGCCTGTACCACCTCCTAGTCGCCATTCACAGCAAGCAATCAGAACGTGTATTTGGAGTTCTGCAAAGAGGTTCTGCAGCAGCAGCCTGTTTAGAAGATCACTCAGTGGGATGAGTCTGTGGAGGTTTTTACACCCCTCCTTGTTTACAGAGTTTAACAGAGGCCTAATAGTGAATTTACCCTAATCACAGAAGGTGGGAGGCTGCCCCTGATGGTGTTTTGCGCCGCTCTCTCTCTCCCTGCAGTCAGAAGGGGGGAGGGAACCACCGCGTCATGGCTACAGCAGCCACATCATTGCAAATAGCCCCATGGATCAGAACCCCAATGGAGGGCACAGCCATGAAAGTGAGCAAGTTAAAACTTCACCATGGGGCAACCCAGGAATAAACAGCGAGCTAAACACCCACAGCCCCCATAGCGCGTACAAAACCCGCAAACAATCAGCTCTCACACGCACCCTACAGCCTCTACGTAACGCCCTGTCGAAAGCGGACGCCATATTTTCTGTTGCTTATGTCGACATAGGGAAACGTAGACATGTTATTAAGGTCTCCTCATGCAAGCCCCCTGTTTGCAATCCCACCCAAACTTACACCCGATCCAGTACAAAAGAAGGGGGGAGAAAAATCCCTGATCCACCCACGCCTCCCACCAGGGGCTCCTTCTACCCCCCTCCTCCTGTGATCCACAAAACACGCGGGAGCTACTAAAGTTAACATGGGAGAATGGAATAAATGAATTAACCCAATACATGCTTTTTACCTCTTATAACCGCTCTTTGATGTGCCTGTGAAAGAGTAGTTAATAATAAATTTAGAAAAATAAACAAACAAACCCCGCGGTGTCGGTGGATAAATCCCAGGCAGACGCAGCCGCTCGGCTTTGCTGGGTTGTTTGTGCGTCAATGTCGAAGTTTCTTACCTGCGGCCAGGTCTTGGAACGCGATGACGTGCTTTGGAACGTTGGCAAACAGTGTTGCTACAATGTTTCTCTTGATGAAGTCACAACAGAACGCTGGGAAACGCAACATTCGACCCCCCCACCCCCAAACAGCACAACGGCGAAAAAAAAAAATCCTCGATCAGTGGGGAATCTACGCCAAAACCCACATGATCTCTAACGTCAGCATGCGTATTTGCATACGATACCACCCGCACTTCACCCTGGATCGCAGCTCACTTCTTGCGCAAAGTTGCGCACTGGCCATTTGCATAAAGCTTCCATTGTAGGAGAGAGGCCCCCGCTGGTCATAAAGCGCCCCTCAGAGCCAGTGAGGGTTTTTTTTTTTTTTTTCTCCTTTCTTCCTTTTGTAATTTGTAATTGATCTGGTAGTTAATACGCAGCGCAATGAGAGTCCATTGCCTCTATTCAAATAATGAAGTCAGGGGGGAAATAAGTGAGAGGCTCCGCAGGTCAATGCAATACCCATTTTCTCTATGAAAAAGTTCAAGGTGTCACTGATGAGCGCTTGCAAACTGTTGATCGTGACCACGTGTGCTGCAAGCGGTAGAAATCGGTTTGAAATAAGTCAGAAGGCAGGATTCATACACTGGGTTGAATGTAAACAGTCAAACAACTGTTTGTTAAAGGAGACACAACATTGCATTTGGCACTATTCAGAGCTTTCCTGGCAGGAAGGGGTTAATGTGCATGTACTTGCCTATCTTGGGTAAGGCAGCTTGTGGAAATTAGGTCATAGCAGAGGGTTTCCATTTATAATGACTCAGGCTATGGGAGATCGCATAGGAAGCTGTAATACCAGGACAAAAAGTGGAGTGTGAATCATATAGATCATGGGCTTTCTAACTAAGCACTTTGTATAAAAAAAGCTGCCGTGGCTACATCTTAGCTTAGGGGCAGGGTCCTCTCTACCTTTTGTATTGTCTGTGTATAATGTATTTTCTCCCTTAATTGTACAGCGCTGCGGAATATGTTGGCTCTTTATAAATGCCAGTAATAACTAGATACATTTGTACTGATAGGATATGGGATTTTGTGAGGAGGGATGAATCATTCCTTGCACAGCCTAGTTTAGCCATCCCCCAGGAGAGTTTGGTGCAGTCACTAGAGACTGCCATATGCCTGGTGGCAGTTGGAATTTTCCAGAAAATTGCAGCTGGAGACCAGGGGCTTTCTATTCAGTTACAGTGATTTTTTTCGACTTGTGAATTGGATTGTATTTACTGGAGGATGGTGAATGTGATTTCATGCACTGTTTTAAGACAGAGATAACATAATATCATTAACACGTTTTTCCACAGCACCGCACAATGGTGATATAAATAACAAGCGGGAAACATAGCGCAAGGTGAAAATTGCCCTCCTTTGGGACTCTCCAATAACCATAACCACTCTAGTATCTATGGTGATGAAAGCTAAGGGTGCAGTGATGCAAAAACTCTAAAAACACACTTCTTTAGAGAAGCCTATCAGCTCTCCCTTTAACTCATCATCCCCCACAGCCTTCCTCTACCATCTCCTATGCTGCCTCTTACCAGACATCCTTCCCATCCTCGGGTGCATTCAAATCTTTTGATTCCTCTACTTCCCTTTGTGTATTTATCCCCCATATATTTAGAGTGTTAGCTTGTTTAGGCAGGGTCCGTTTCACCTATCGTTCCCAAATATCATACATGTTTAGTTAATATTAAATATATGTCTTGTTTCTTACGCTACAGCGTTGTAAAATATTTTGATGCTATATAATTATCTGACAAAAAAAAGAGTATTCTGTTAAACGGACTCACCAGTGCCAGGAAAACAAACCGTTTTCCTGGTACTGCAGGTCCCCTCTCCCTCCCACCCCCTATCCCAGGTTACTGAAGGGGTTAAAACCCCTTCAGTGACTTACCTGTATCCAGCGCCGATGTCCCTCGGCGCTTGGTCATCGTCCGCCCGCGCTCCTCCCCCGCCGATGTCATCCGGTGTGGGATACCTATTGAGCATCTACGGCCGGCAGCGGGGGATTCCTTATGCGCATGCGCGGTAATGCCGCGCACGCGCATTAGACCTCCCTTTAGGAAAGCATTGAATAATGCTTTCACTGCTTTCCTATGGGGATTTCAGCGATGCTGGAGGTCCTTGCATAGCGTGTCCTCTAATGGCTGTCTAGTAAACAGCCCCTAGAGGAGGAGTTAACCCTGCACGGTAAATATTGCAGTTTATGAAAACTGCAATAATTACACTTGCAGGGTTAAGGGTAGTGGGAGTTGGCACCCAGACCACTCCAATGGGCAGAAGTGGTCTGGGTGCCTGGAGTGTCCCTTTTAAACCAAAAGCCCCACCCATCTGTGAGGTCATACTGCCAAAATATCACTTTACATCTGATGCGTAAATCACAGTCCTAACCATGCTTTTGTTTGTGAATGGATTCTGAACTTTGGGCTGTATGTGTTTTCAACACAGTCAAAACATTTTCTGCCAGTATTGTCGCAGCAGTTAGAAATTATTATTATTGTTGGCATTTATATCGCGCCAATGTATTCCACAGCGCTTTGCAATAGAAATCATTATCATAATGAATATCCTATTCATCGCGCCCTAAAATTAGACCTTATTGGAATTCGATACATAGAGTAATTAAAACTATTGACAATTCAACTGATAATTTGACACCAGAGCTTTGTCTTTTCAAGCGAATGCCCATAAATTTACCAAATTATAATAAAATTATATTAGGCCATATTCTAATTTCTGCAACGACAATTATCAGCCGACACTGGAAAGCCATTAAATCACCACACATAAATGAGGTCATACAATACATATTTGAAAATAGACGTTGCAAACTAGCTTTCTGCTTAACAACACCGAAAACTGAAATCTTTAAACAAGAGTGGCTTTTATGGGAAGAAAACATCAGAATCAATTCTAATCTTATTACGTAGTTCGTTCCTGACCGGATGATGATTGCTAATATGTGGTGTATATTTGATTGTATATAATAATATAATATATATAAACTGATAAGTTATTACTCGTATCCCACTGGATCATTGTATTTATAGAGTTTATCCCCTGTTTTTTAAATGGGATTTATAACCAGAACTTTAAAAAATACAGTTCTGGGGGGGGCGGAGCAAGCAAGGCAACGGAGCGGTCGCACTTCTCGGAGCTCCGACACTAAATTGTGCAATCTCACAGTATAGAGCGGAATCCGAGCCCCAAAAAAACCAAAAAACCTACCTACGACAGGAGAGGAGATCATGGGCAGGAAAATGAAGAAGGCAAAAGCCGAAAAAAGTCCCCACGGGAGGGATATTGGAGATATGCTCCGGAGCACGCAGCAGGCCGCATGGGCCAAGATGGCGCTGACAGACGAGCTATCCTCATACTCCTCTGAGGATTTTTCCACGGACCTCCTGGAGGGAGCGTCCTCTGGGCACCTGCCGGACCGCAAAATTGATTCACAGATGGCACGGGATCCGGTCACAGCGGATCAGCTCAAAAAAATGCTGGCAGAACTCCGCAAGGACCTGGCAGCGGATATGGCCTATTACAGAGAGGCTATTGAAGGGGCAGTAACGAAAATCACACTGCTGGAGGCCTGTACTGACACCCATGAGACAAGACTTACAACGGTAGAGCAGCAAATAGCAGATCTAACAAAGCAGCAGACCATCACTACCGACAGACTGGATGCCCTGGAGGATCAGAGGAGACGCCACAACTTGAAAATAAGGGGGATACCCGAGTCAGTCGACCTCGATGGCCTTCCCCACTACATTAGGCGTTTCCTAGCAGTCCTGCTCCCACCAAAGCAAATGAAGTCCTTGAGACTGGATGGGATGTTTAGAATACCCAAGCCACCGCGAGCACCAACAAATGCAACACCAGACCTCATACTGCGCTTCCAAACCCTCTCCGACAAAACCGCACTGCTGACCGCACTGAGAGGGAAAACCCCTATGTCATTTGAGGGAGCCGCACTAACAGTGTTCCCAGATCTCACCAAAAACACCTTAACCTGGTGGAAATCCCTACAGCCTCTCCTACAACACCTACGGGCCAGAGGAATTCCATACAGATGGGGTACACCTCGAGCTGTAGTGTTTACACATAACGGGACTGTATACAAAGCGCAAGACTACCAAGACCTCGACCTACACCTGCAAACAACAGGCATCCTGCAAACCGCTACAATACAGAAACAGGGACTATCCCAAATAAACCCGACCGCCATCCGAGACTTCGTCCCAAGGCACAACCCCAGAGCCTCACCTAGCAGCCTGCCTCCCTGAGGAGACGGAGGAAGACCACCCGTGGAGACTCTCCAACGTACTGCTCCCACCTTGAGTATACCATACAAGTTAAAGACTACGCCTTGATTTGTTGCAAAACCGTTTTGCCCACACACACGATTGTATTACTGCTACTTGTTCTTTAATATAACCCGCTCCTACATTATACACATACACTACAAGCTACTGGCACACTGGTAACAGAAGACCGACACATCCACAATGTCAGACCACATAGTCACACATATTTACAAGGCCATACCCCACCCCCCTGGCCGAATCCTGGAAGACTCCATTAAGTACACTCATAAGATATGTAGGCTGGAGGTAAACCCCACTGTGGACACCGTCTTCAGACTAACGCACCACTCTACTCATATCCACACGGGGCACAATAACTGCTTTCCACTACTGTTATACCTAATGTTATTTCTAAAATGTGCAATGTTCCTTGAGGCCACTAATGTACTGTCTGATTGATATCCAAGCAAGCAACAACTGTTGTGGTGTTGCACTCACCTGTATCATTTCTTTGCACAAAAAATAAAGAATTTAAAATAAATAAATAAATAAATAAAATACAGTTCTACCCTTTTAGACAAGGAAAGATTGGGGGAGGTAAAAAATATCCTTCCACGTAGTACTTATCTCTCCATTGTTCATAAAGCAGGGTTGCATAACTTTATTAAATTATCATAATTGCACACAAAAGAAAATTGGTGAATAAATAGATTTAAAGGGTAACCCCAGACCCCTAAAGTACTCCAGCTTGCTGAAATGCTTTATGTGTCAAGGGTGTGGTTTTTGTTTTCATTTACAAAAAAAGTGCATTTAATATCAAATATATAGGTATAAAACATAATTTAATATGAATAAAGTATAAAAAAAGGGAGAAAATACGAATTATACATTTTTTTTAGTTCTAGTGACATTTTAACTGTGAATTTCATAATACTGTTTGCTTTTACTGCACTTAAATACACATATTTGTATTCAGCGATGTCTCACGTGTAAAATAGTGCCCCTTATGTACAGGTATTATGGTGTTTTGGGAAGTTACAGGGTCAAATACAGCATGTTACATTTTTCAACTTTTTCACATTGAAATTCGTCAGATTGGTTACGTTACCTTTGAGACTGTGGTTGCCCAGGAATGAGAATTACCCCCATGATGGCATACCATTTGCAAAAGTAGACAACCCAAGGTATTGCAAATGGGGTATGTCCAATATTTGTTTGTGTGTG